AGAGCCTTAGGCTGCACTAAAAAAATTTAATCTAAATTTGGTAAAAATATTATTAATTTACATTATAAAAAAACTTTGTTGGTTCTTTTATTTTTTCCTGAACATCTTCTAATTTTTATTATTCAATTTAGAAAAAATAAAATACATTAGAGATATATTCATATTCTAAAATTAAATAAAATAAGTAAATCTAATTATTAAATTTGATGTTTTTTATGATATTTATAAATTTGATTGATCAAACTTACTTGTAGTAGATTAATATAATTTTTTAAATTAAATTGCTGATTTTTGGATTTAACATTATCATTATTTTTTATCCAAGTAACATCTTTATAAATTTAGTATTAATAAAATATTACAAGCTTTATATATTTGTTAAAATTAATTTATTCTATATTGAAATAATATCATATCTAAGCATACTAACTTATTACTTGGTTTTGCTTTCTCTATAGATAATAATTAAAACCGTGTTGTATCTTTGACCAATACTTCTTTTTCTATAAGTAGACTTGCTTGGAGTAACTTATAAGCTTTAATGATATTATTGAGGTGTATCTAATATACTTCTAGTGCCTCTTTTAAGTATTTATCTTATTAATTGAATAAATTCCTTGTCTTTGCTTTAAAATCAATTAGAATTTTTCTTTATTAAGATTCATATTTTTTCTTCAATAAGTTCTATTATATCATTATCAAGTTAAATTATTTTAATTGGTTATAATAACATAAAATTACATATTCTCTTTTTTCTCTTATTTAACATTTATATCATGTAATTTATCTAAAAAATCATTATTGTTATATAAGTTCTTCTTGTGTTTAATTTTTTTTATTATAATCAACTTAGTTTTTTTTCTTATTTTTGTGTTAAACTACAACTTCTCTAATTTGAATTCAATTAAATTTTTATGAAATAGGTTTAACAAATTTCATCAAAAGTATTTTTTATAGATAGTCCTATCCTTAGCTTCTAATTCTACTATTGGCTCTTATAGTTGTGTATAAAAGTTCAAGCAAAATCTAAAGTTTCTTCTTTAGTAATTGCAACTATTCAACTATAGATCAATCTACAAGATTGATATTTTTTTTCTTCCAAATTTTAAAGTAAAAGATTGTAATAACTTCTTTTGTATTAAAAACAATTGGGAAGCATCTTCTTAATTAACACTATTATATAATTATTTGAATACCACTATTAATGCAAGTGTAGTATTTGTCTCTATTAGAGCAATTTTAAGTTCATCAATTGGAATATATGCCAAATCTTCTTACAATATAGAGATAGTATTGAAATATACTATCAACCATATATTTTTTATTTTTATTTGTTAAGGTATCTAAAAACTACTACAATGGTAGAACTTTTACCTCACTTTAAAATAAATTTCTTGTCCTAATATGTCTTATTAATTGTGAGTCTATAGAAATTTGATAGTATTATAATTATTTTAATTTTATAATTTACTTATTGATAAGTAAGAAATAGTTATATTTTAAATTAATTATATAGCTACCACAATATAAATAGAGTTAAGTTGTGAAGAAGATGCTTAATTGGTATAATATAAACAAGGTCAAAATTGTAAACTATCTATTTTACTATTATAGTGGAAATAAGATTAAAAATTCAAATTACTAACTTAATTATTACAATGTGAACAGCCTCAATTATTAAATATTATCAATTATTTTAAATTTAATTATTTTTAAAAGATTCTAATTATACCACCAAAGTAAATATTATTAAAAATGACAAGAAATATATTTAATAAATCTTTCAAAACAAAAAATGAAAACCTTGCAGAATATACTTATAATTCTAAATAATTAATTCCAAATCCTTCAATGCTCCTAATTCTCTTTAAAATAAAGTCAATTTGACATTCAATTTGTATATGGTTGAAAAATATTAACAAAAAATATGTTCAAATTTAGCCATATTTAAAATTGTGGTCTTAGGTTTAGTAAAGGATACATTCATGAGACCTAATTTTATTTAAAATAAAGTCAATTTGACATTCAAATTGTATATGGTTGAAAAATATTAACAACAAATATGTTCAAATTTAGCCATATTTAAAATTGTGGTCTTAAGTTTAGTAAAGGATATATTCATGAGACCTAATTTTATTTAAAATAAAGTCAATTTGACAATCAAATTGTGTATGATTGAAAAATATTAACCAAAAATATGTTCAAATTTAGCCATGTTTAAAATTGTGGTCTTAAGTTTAATAAAGGATACATTCATGAGAGGTTCAATATTAATAACTTTGGCTTTTTAAGCTTTCTATTAATAATCATCTTTAATATTAAACAAATAAAGATTTAACAAGAGTTTTGCCACAATATCATGTTTATTATATTGAAGGATAATTTTGATGATATATCAAAGATAATGCATACAATCTATATTGGAACCAATCAAATGAAAATGTTGCAAAAATGGAAAGGTATGGATGGCTGTATATAAAAATTATGTCTTTTAGGCACTAGAAGTAAAATTGTTGTTTACAATGTAGATCAAATTATGTATGCTTAATACATTTGCAACAATCTCAATCTTGAAGCCATTGAAAGACAATTAGAAGGTTTTTTTTGAGGTTCAAAATGTTTTTAATGAACATATCATAGATGCCTTCTATATCAAGCTTTAGCAATTGCAAGTATAGAATTAAAGATTTATTTTACTATCTTTTTTTAGCATTATAAATTAATAATATTTTAAATAAATTATATATATTGATAATGTAGATTGAAAAAGAAATATACATATATATATATATATATATATATATATATATATATATATCATCAAGTGAGCTTAGAAGTTTTTTAGAATAATTTCTTATCTTTTTTTTATAGAATACTTGTAAATGATTAAAATTGAGTATAGCTAGATTAAAGTATGTATTAAAAAACTAATATACAAATTTTAAATTAATGTGAAAGAGGTTTTTTGGTGTTTTTATTTTTTTTGAAAAAATGAAGATTTTACAATATATATATATATATATATATATATATATATATATATATATTAGAGCAAATACTATTACAGCAAGTTTTAAATTTAGTTCTTATATTTTCTATTAATAATATATTGTCATTGGTTTGCTGAACTTATAATAATAAAAACTGCAAATACCAATTTTTTTTATCTTGTATTTATACTACATCAACAATTTTAATTATCAACCTTAACTATTAATATTCACTTTTTAAAATTCCACAAACTTATACATGTGTGTAGTATTAGACCTAACCAATATATAATACAACTCTTTTAATTTGTCAAAAAATCAATGTTCATACGAAAATACACTTCAAATTTACCTCCAACAATAACAATGCATAAAAGTCTATACATTAATATAAATGTAGACCAAATTTTATATTTAAAAAAAAAAAAAAAAAAAAAAAAAAAATCCAATAATTCAATGTCAATATCTAATGTATTTTCTTCAAAAAATATTTCTTATTATTATTGGCAACATGAAAGGAAGTATCAATCAACTATGACTAAAACAAATTTGCATGTAACAAATTGAAACCTAGGTGATGATTCGTGTAAGTTGTGCATAGTAGTGATATTCCATTCTTTGCATCCCATTTTGACTTCCGCATTGTCAGCAAGTAATTAATTTTTCCTTTCTGTTCAAATTCTTTTTTAACAAATTCTTCTTGCCTGCTAAATATTAATTCATTTATGAAAAAGGTAGAACAACTTCATCAAATAAATAAATAAATTTATACACATTTATTGAGGAATAATGATGAAAGGAGTGAGAAAGTCGGTGTTGGGGAGTGTGTTGCTGTGAGACTCAAGCAAGCAAGCAGCTGATGCTAAGCCAGAGAGAGAGAGAGATTTGCAAGGAAGGAAGAAAAATAGGGAGTGTGTTGCTGTGCTTACTTACTTCAGGGCGAGGGATGGAATCAGGATTCTGTTCCTGCTTGATCGTAAGCTTGCTTGCTTGCTTTGTAGTGTGTTGAAAGCAGTTACGATGCAGCGATGATGTTCAATGCCCAAGTCCAATGCACTGGAAAGTGCCACTAAAGCCCTTCAAGTATCAAAAACTACACCTTTACTTAAAACTGCCATGAGATTGGGTGTCAAGAGTGTGTGTGTGTGTGTGTGCATGCATGCATTTGTAGTGCGACAATCGAAGGATGTTCGTGTCTCATAAGAAAGCTGCTGCAAGCATGAAAGTGGTGTATGGAATTGTGTCTCAGGATAATACATAGAGGTTGTGTAGATCTTTATAGTACTTCTTGTCTTGAATTAGGTCATTGTGTGTGTGTGTTTGTGTTGTGTTTGGCAGAGCTAGGTGTAGTTTTGGACTCAAGTTGCAACGCCTTTGGCAAACTGGGTTGATGTGCTACCCAGTTAGGTGAAAACAGGTTTCACCAAATTTGGAATTACAATAATAAGTTATGTCGAAGGCCAAGCGCAAGACTCGTGCGGCGCTGGAAGCAGAAAAAGCAACGAGAAAGAGATTTCTCTAGTGCTTAGCCACTATCTGGGCAGCGTTGTGCTTCATGCAGTTATAGTACCTGCCCCAAGCTTACATCATCGCAAAGAGCTTTCAGTGTTTTCTTTTACCAGGTGATCTTCCCCTCATGCCACATACTCTTTAGGGTGGTCATAATAGCATGCAGACTTCGTTGTGTAGGGCCCTGTTGTTATTACGCACTGTTGCCTTATACTATTTTTACTTACAACGAACAGTCTCTTTCTGATACGACGGCAAATATTAGTGGGATGCACCTCTTTCGGCGCGTTCTTGATTCAGTTCTTAGGACAGTTTTTGGAAGATTTACGAACTGTTTTGTACGTCTGAAATCCTCCGATTGAGCTAGTTGTGGTTGCAGCAGACGAGATCAAGCAGAGAACCCCTTGAATTTGACTTAAGAAGTGGTACTGTGTTGAGATTGTTTAGGAAGAGAAACATTTGTGACTGTGGTTAAACTGACTGATTGCATGATGCGTCAGATTTGAAACAAATTCGCCCTGGATTGTAATTTCAGAATAACCTATCAGTTGAGTCTCAATCGCGTTTGACAGAATCGTAAAATGTATCAGCACATCCTGCTAACTTTACTCTCAACATGAGGATCAGTAATATGTGGAGTAAACATTCTTTCATAACCCCTTTGAACTGTGTGTCCGCTATTTCAGCCCACTCTTTGCTGTGACTATAAACCACCTGTTGAAATTGATCAGTGTATTGAGGGAGTCATGGAACTGGTGGGGAATAGAAGGGTTTTGGTGGAGGAACACAGGGCGGAGGAGGAGGAGGCTTAGAATCCTCAAAAGGACGACGACGCGAGCTAGGAGCTTGAGGGTCCACGTTATGACCGTTAGATACAGGTGGAGGGTAGCCTGTTGGGGCAGGCCTCTCCCGGCTCGCTTGCAACAATGATCTTCGAGTTACAAGGCTCTGCCTCAAATTCCCCTGAAACATTAAAACAATATTGACGCATTTTACTGTAAAGGGGAATCACTCCCTGCTTCCTGAACCTTGCACAGCTACAAGTACAAACTTAGTTTCATTATTTTGAGTTAAACGTTGAGTTGGTTCGTTGGGAAGGCCCTTCAATTTATCTTGAATGTCAATGTAATAACAACCCCTTGTTGATCACTTACAGAATGTGCCAAAATCAGCGCAGACGATGATGATAAGGTTAAAATTGTGGATGCAACAAGGGCTAGCGCAATCAACTTGATACAAAATTGTGGTTGTGCAGCTGCTACCCTCCAGCTCCTTAATCGGAGCCGCTTTTGTTCTGTCATCGTGCAGAGGACAGCAGAGTGAAAAATCCAGTTGCTGTCTTCAAAGTCAATGATGACAGACGCATGCCAGTGCACTCCTCTGCTCCGCCCTTCTAATTTGTGACGCTAACTATTGACACTTGACACAGGTATTAGTTCCTGATCCCTCCCTACGTTTGTGATCAACTTCAACAAGTTCTTTGCGTGTCTTCAGAGTTCTGCAGGAAACTGCAACCCATATCCTGAGGTCTTTGATATCCAGTTGAAGTGGCTACAGTATGCTTGAACCATTACAAATCATGGCTGAATAAATATTTCTCAAGACACTTTCTTCGTTTTCAATGCACAAGATGCAGAGTTCTACAATCCCTAACTTCCACTCAAGCTAAACCTCAGGAAATCAAGATAGAGTTATCCTAATATGCAACTGCGGTGACAGCAAAATTATTCTGATCAGAACTCTTACCTGACTACAGCTGCAGCCAATCCACCACCTCAAGCGTCTGCAGCCAAAGGAGCGAATTCATGTCACCAAGGAGCAGGCAAGGACTGAATGAAGAACTCAATGGATGGCAACAATTTGGAAACTCTAGCCAACCTCATAGAGAACTATCCGTGCAATCAAAGCAAGATACTTACAAATATATATATACAAGCTACAGCTCCTGTTTCGCCAGCATGCCCTCAGTCATGACGTTGGGCCCAAGGCTACCTCTTTTCTACTTTCAATGACGGATTGGAGCAAAATTGTTCATCCCGGAGGTATGTGCACATATTTTTCGAGCCTTTTCTTATTGAAGGTTCTGGCTGCAGGGCCCAAAGGCAATCATTCAAGAGTACTTCTATCCAAACTTCTAATCCAAAGCCTCGGCCCAGGTTCTTGTGATGACGGTAGCATGTCAGGAGCTGGTCCAGGTGAGACGTCTGATCTGAAAAGGAAAACAAGGCATGGGAAAAAAGAAAAAAAGGCCTTGTGTTTTCGGCAATGTGGCTCTTTCCACGTGCCCACAAGTTTTTGTTTTCCTATGTTTTCAAGTCGCGGAGAAATGATGAGTGGATGTCATTGTCTTGGTGGGTGAGGGCTTACACCTTTCAGTAGGGGTGCATGGCTCTCATTTATAATTGCAAATCTGGAACACACGTTTCGGTGCAGAACACGCCCATTTTAAGGGTAGATAAACGGACCTCTACTAACTTTGTGAAAATTCGTTCTCTTGCTGCACCCTCAGCTGGGTACAAGAAAGCGCGAAAGCAGTAGGAGTCAACCACCTTCGTCCGTGATGCTCATTTCAACACTTTCTGTGAAACCAAATGCTTCCATCCAGAAGTTTTGACCCAGTCTCCACTTTTCATGAGGAGAAAAAAGTTTAGAGAGTTTAGCCCTTGGCTGTTTCTACTACAGGCATATGTTTCGCAGGTAAAAAGTCACAAAGGACATCTTGCACAATTTGTGGAGGTCAATACTGAATTGTTTCCGTTGGTGATTCACGCTTGTGAGGTTGTTGTTACGTTTCAGTAGTTAAACTAACATTTACACGTGGTGGTTCCATGATATTGTGTAAAATTCACTAAAAATTGTGTTAATAATTTCAGTTGTTCGAAAGTTGGTGCGGATGGTGAAAAGAATACTCTAATATGTATATACACACACACACACACATACACATACCACCCTGTCTTTTGTGTGTGAATTGCAAAGTACAACATGATTTGCCAAATCCCATTACTGATGCTAATTTTTGAAGTGATCTCTTGCGCTACTAAAATATCATCATATTCTGTTGAAAACTACCGTTTGGTGAGGATTTAGAGTTGAATTAGTCTTTTTTTCACCGAAGCAGAGATGATTTTGAGGTATTTTTATTGTTAGAATAAATGGAATCTATTGTATCTGAAGTTTGATCTAATAAAATTTGAGTGATGTTTTTTAGATTATGATTTTGACTTATAAATACGTACATAAGCCTTTTTACTAGAATAATTTTTGCATTATTATTATTTTTTAAAATTACAAGCATATTAAAATCTTGTACATTTGATATCTATTTTAATTCTTCATCCAAAGCTACAACTGGTTTCTTCAACTTCCAAAAACAAAAAAAAAACAAAAAAAAACAAAAATTGAAAAGGCAAAAAGGAATACCATAAAAAAATCAAAAATATCAAAAAGAAAAACAAACTAACAAACTAACTAACTAACTGAGCCAACAAACTTTCAACAATGCAAAATCCAAGGTGATGTGTTCCAACAAAATTTAGATAATTTACAGACACCTTGTATCTAAAATTTATTTTGAATAATAAATCTACTATATATGCTCTAAAAAACATTATTAAATCATCTAAAAATACTCCTTTTCTAAAATCATTTATATTAATTGCAAATTAAAAAAAAGATTTTTTATTTTGAAATAGAGATGCTCTCCATTTGATGATTAGAAATTGATTTTTGAATTTTTAGAAATGTGATAACGACTTTCAGTAGAAATAATTTTATGTACCATGTGATAAAACTTACTTCAAAATAAGAAACCTTTATTGAGGGAACAATTATTTGAAATTTAATTAACAATTCAAGTCATTGTGAGATACATAAATCTTACTAATTATTTTCTTAAAGTTTCATTAAAAAAATTATAATAATTTCATGCAAGTATAAGAATTAATAAATCATTATAATAATCAAATTTCAAAAAAATACTTTTTGAATTGATATATGATAGAGTTTTCATGATACAGACATTATGCTAGCCAATTTCATATAAGAACAACAACCAATGCAGTCATAAAATAGAATTACAAACTAAAATTGCGTGAACATGTTAAGGTGGTGATTAGGTTGTGAACATATAAAAGAACTGATAAGAACTAATAATTGTATAGTAAATATCACTGCATTAGTGGCTATTATATATGACCAAAATATAAATTCATATAGCATGAATAGAGGTTCAGAACAATCAAGTGAATTTTGCTTTAAGCTTTATGATCTGAGTATTTTTGAATTGGTTTGAATAACTTCTTCAGTCTTTTTATGCATTAATAAGTGATATGTCTCCTAAATATAAGAAAAAGAAAAAAGCAAAAATAGTTTTATTGTAAGTACATTCTGAACTAAAATTTTAAATGTAGTGGAAATGGGTGAAAAAACTATGTATCCCAATATGTAAATTATTGGGTCAAAATGTTTCTTCTCTTGTTTTGTGACAAATTGCTCTTTGTCCTTGTTCCTCTCCTTCATTACTTGTGCAAATTGTTCATTGCCGTTTCTTGAGCCCAATATTGAAATTTGGTAGGGAGATATCTACATACGATTGGGATTACTTTGATATTTTTGGTGTGTGTTACATAGATCAATGAGAAGTAGGGATTAGTTTCTATGCAACTTGCCCCTTTGAGGAGATCCTGCAGAGGGTTGCTAAGTATTATATGATAAGTTGGTTGTCAAAGATTGTAAGTCTCGCTTCCAATTTTTGGTTTAGAGTTGGTCTTGTGCCAATATTTCTAATGTTGCAATGGGTCCTAAGAGCTAGTAACCATTTTGATGAAGGGCAATGGCCTCAATATTGTTACACCATTTTTACATTTTTCAAAATGTAGGGTAGAGAGAAGTGTTTGTTGAGGCTATTTAAGCTTTGCCTAGTTGTTCACCATTGTGGCCTCTATTACACTTGATCTCTATTGCAAGTTCATGTGAAATTCTCAATAAACTTGGAGAGGGTGTGGGATGGATTTACAATATAAGCCAAGGAATCACAACATCCCAAGTTGAAATATAAAAATGGAACTAGTCAATACATAATGATACAGAAAATTTAGAAGAATCAATGATGGGGTGTTCTAGTTTACACTAATTGCATGCAAGAAATAATGGAGGATAAGAAATAAGTGACGAGAATAGAGACGAGTGATAGAGAACAAGGGCAAAGAGAGATGAGGAATTTGGAACAAAGGACAAAGAATAAAAGATAGAAAACAAGGATAGGGGGAAGAGGAGGAGGAGTTTGGAACAAGAGACAAGGAACATGGATGAAGGAGGTTATGAAAAGGGACAAGAAACATGAGAAGAGAACATGGACATGCGACTAAGAACAAAGGACGGAGATAGGAGATGGGCGGAATCAATCATAAAATGGCAAAGAAGGGAGATATAGCTTTAACAACTTCTTCTACATTATTATAATAATAATAATAATAATATTTAATCCTTTTTTATAAAGATTTGACTATTATTTTTTTCAAGAGCATCGAAAAAAATTAAATATTGACAATAATTTTATTTTAAAATAATATTACATTTAAAGTCTTATTTATATTTATCTTTTTTTCATGATTTATTTTTTCTAATCCTAATGGTTTATAGTTCTATTACCTATAGAAATATTTATAAAAGTATTATCAATAACATAAATAAAATCAATTAAATTAATTTTTATAATTTTTATAATCCATAAATTCTATTTACTATCACAACCAACATTTAGAGTAATTAGTTAAAAAGATACAAAGCTGAAAAATATTTCTTTTATAGCTTTTCTATCTTAAGTAGTTCTTTCTATTGTAAATTGTTATAAAATTTTAGTAATATTTATTAAAGAATTAAGATTTATTCTTCTTGAAAATTTTGATGGTAATGATTCTATGTTTTGAAAATTCAATGACCAATTACAACTCATTATTGAATTCCAACTACACAAAAATAATAAAAAATAGATTTTAATTTTTTTAATTTTTTAGTATTTGGTAGCAACTATTCTGCAGTCTTTTTATCTTATCAACGTTTCTTTTTTGTAATCTACTTTATTTAGTCCTAATTGCACATAGATATATTTTATTTTGACAAGTTTTTAAAGATTGGTGTTCTTAAAAATTGATAAAAATCAAAATCCTTTCGACAAATATACATACATATATATATAGAGAGAGAGAGAAAGAGAGAGTGAAATATATATATATATATATATATATATTATTTAAAATAATATTGGTTGGTTTATAATATAATATCCTACAATATGACATCCTAAACATGTACACAATGCTTATTAAAATTTTATTAAATAAAAGTCATTCTATTGACATTTAATTATAAATTTAATTTATATATTTTTATTTATTTATTTATTTATTCATTTATTTCTGTAATAAATAAAATTATTTAGAAGTATTTTTGAATATGTATGTATGTATATATATATATATATATATACTTGTTAAAGCCGCATCTCTCATTCCCACTAATGATTCATTTTGTGCCATGTCATGTGTCTCCAATCCCATTCCCATCATGTGTTCCATGTTCCCCATTCTCATATCCTATGCCCACCCTCCCCACCTCCAACCCCCCTCCCCCTCCTCCTTGTGCCAACTCCACTCCCATCTTACTTAATTTTATATTTTAAGTTTTAATGAGAAAATATTTTTTCAAACATAATGAATATTCTAGAATTAAAAAGAGATCTATCTTTGATAGTAAGTTGCTAGCATTTAGTCATGTTGTTCTTACTAAAACTTATTTTTTTTTGTTTATTGATAGGATATCATTAAAATTTACTATTTGTGTCAAGCATTAAATGATGAGTTCTTCTTAAAATAAACAATTGCTTATTTAATTTAGTTTGCTGAAATATAAACCTATATTTTGTTTAATATTTTTACTTTTATTTTTATTTTAGTTATTAGATGAAAAAAGTTACATCAGTATTTCATAAATAATATTTTTCTTATCTATAATTGCTTTTGATACTAAATATTGTTAATGCTATAATTTGACATGTCTAAGTGTATTTAATTTAAGTAATATTTATGTATATGATTGATTATTGTGCGGAAAAAATCATGAAACAAAATTATCCTATATTTTGATGTTTAAATATTTAGAAATAAATATCTTGTATTGCTTAAAATCTAGATTAAAATTGAAACAAAACATTTATTCTATTTTAGTTGATGATGATAATAAATTGCCAAAGTTTGAAATTTTATACAGAAATAGATATCATTAACAATCTTCTTTTGCCAAAATTTCTCTCTTTTTATTTTTTTTTTCAAATGCTTAATTTTTATTTTTTATTTTTTGAAGATATATTTTAAAATTCATGCATGCAAAGATAACACAATTCTTGTCAAATTAGTGTTTGTAAACCTTAATTGAATAAGTTTATCAGAAAAACTTAAGAGATGTACATAAAAAAACACCTATTTTTCTTTGAAATTATTTCTGTAAAAGTCTATTATTATTCTATCAATTTTACATAGACACTCATTCATAACTAATTCGTGGTCATTTAAAAATGTATAGAATTATGTAATGATAAATATATATATATATATATATATATATATATATATTATTTAAAAAATAAATAAAAACACTATTGACCAATTTTTAAATTTATACATTGTTTTAGTTACAATTTATCAAATATTGATATTTGGTAGAGATGGGGGTGGGGATGGGACAAGGAGGGTGGGCACAGGGTATAGGAACAGAGAACGTGGGATATGGGATGGGAAGGGGGTTGGAGACATAAGACATAGCACAAAATGAATCATTTAGTGGGAATGGGGGGTGTGGCTTTACCAAGTTCCTAAACATATATATATATATATATATATTAAAATAAAAAATAAATAGAAATCAAAATTTTTATGTCATGTTCTCAAATCAATGTTTGATAATTTAGTTTGTGTCAAAGTTGACAAGATATTATCCAAAATACAACAAAAAAAGTATTTTACTCTCAAATATTAAAAATAAAAGGTACAATGTTTTACTAAAACAATTGACTCAATAGTACAAAAATGTAAATGGCATATTACATTATTTTTTGATGATTGCATATTGTAATATATGTGTCTTTTTTTATCAATAAAGTTAAGATTATATCCAAAATTTTAGTCATATACTTAAAAACTAAGTAGTAGAAACTGCTAACATAAATAAAAGTTACAACAATAAACCAAAAATTCACAGTATTTATAAGTTTACTTTTAAGAATTTCGCATTAAGTAAAACTTGATATTAAATTTTATGAAAAGACCATTAATTACAATAAATTAGATTTAATGATATCGACATGGTTTAAACTATTTAGAAAGAATTTAGTTATTATTACATATATAATTTAAAATCTGTAATATATATATATATATATATATATATATATATATTATTATTAATTTGAAAAGTAAAATCATTGGTATTTTTGATATAATCTAAAAAGTTAAAAATTTACATTGATGATAATTTATTAAATATTTTAAGGAATTTTAAATTCAAAAGCTCAATTAAAAGATATTTTAATAAAATACTCAATGAGAATTTGGTTATGTAAAAATTAATATTTTGTATGCTTACATAGAGTAATGTATTAAAAATTATATATTACTTCTTTAAAAAATAGATTTGAATATATTCAATTAAAATTTGATAAAATAAATCTTTTTAAAACATCATTTGCAACAATGACATTTGAAATAATGGAAAGACTTTAAAATAATGCCCATAATTTATACTATTTTCGATATAAAATTTTAAATATTATTAGTGTTAAACTAAAATCTTGGATATCATTACTGTTTTTTTATTTGTTTTAAAATTAGCAGTTGTTGAATGAAAGTATAAGCTTAGAATTTCATATGATTCTTTTTGAATTTTTGAATGTAATATTACTTGAAAATGTGATTAGAACTTAATGAACTTTTAAAGTAAGTTTGATTTAGGATATATATATATATATATATATATACATATATAGAAAATCAAGGAATCGCCACTTGGATATGCATTTGGAATTAGTACATTTAATTGTTGTATGTTCAGGACTAAAAGCACACATACAAATGAATGAACAACTTTTATATTGTGCAAAAAAAAAGGGAAGAATAATAATAATAATTGCATTACAAAGTATATATATTAATTGCAATATGAACAAAATTTTCTAAAAATAAAAAATAGATTAATTGCATTTCTAACGTCAATGTTGCAACAAACAACCAATACACGACATTACAGTAAATTTAGATTATAGTGATACACTTCAACTGTATTTCCAGGTTTCAAACATACTATCTGTAAGCTTCGTGTTAACCGACCATTACCAAAATTCTACAAGAAAATTTTCAGTTATTGATTCTTTAAACTGTGAGTTACATCCTCAAACATCTCTTACGAGAAAAATTATATCAATTACTTTAAGTCGTATCTTTTCTAGATGTATGCATACTTGTGTGCAATACCATTCATTGAGCTATCTCCAACTAAACACACAAATCGACACAAAATTTAATAAAAGGTAACCAATGTTGGATACAGTGGCATTCAATACCAACAAAGCTCACCTGCTTGCATCCAGAATCAGCATTGGGTCAACTCCTTAATATGGAAGGCTGGTTAACATTAATGAGTAACACTTAGGATCCTAGGAGTAGGTGCTTCTTAATATTCGACGAATTCAACAATGTTTACGTTCCATTACAATATATGACATTCGAAGAAACAAAAGGGAATGCAAGGCTATCAGTCGTGTAAAAAACACATACAATTCCATAACAACGCAACCATATGTGACTAACAATATTCCTGACCTTGATTACCACCTACAGGATTCCAACCAGCTATTGGATATCATACATCTTGGTCTGAGACTTAAGTTGATACCCAACTTGAATCACTCTACAATAACCTGCGGCAAGCTTTCTTACACGATTCACATCATCATTAGGCCCAACAAGAGCCGAGTCGAGGAATCAACAGAAACCACACGTTTGCCACCTGAAGGAAAAGAAGAAGAAAAAGCTAATAACTGAAGTATGAGGAAGGCTGTGAAGCGCACTCCACCATCGTTCTATCTATCTACGATTGGTAGTCATTCTTATCAACTATAGACTGCAGAACGCTAGCTTTCTGCTTTCCGCATGTAAAGCGACAGACATTGACAGCACGTTGATTGGCAGCCTTGAATTGGGCCGACTTCTTGCCAAAGGTTCGCCTTGCTGAGTCTTTTGCAACAACCGCCATGTGCAAAGTTGTCTCACTGCCCGGGCAAACCGTGACGAGAGCATCCACAATAGATTCCAGATGAGTATGCAACTCATGCTCGCCACTAATCAGATCAATATAATGTAAGAATGAGGAACGAACCCAGTTATTTTCAGCTGCGTTAAGTTTGAAATCCTTCAACTTGGTCTCAAGTTTGTGGAACAGTTTTAGTCCAGCTGATGTTTGAGTCTCTTTAAGCTTCTCGTCAGACCCAAATTCTGCTTTAGACTTGCTTGCCAATTCCATCTGCAGCGATACGGAAACAGGATGATTATCTTCAGGCATGAATCCTGTGAAGTCCACCGCTAGGAAAAGAACAGTACCATGCACTTAACATACTGACAGTGATCAACACCTCCAATAATAAACAATTACTCAATCCTAACTAAAATATCGCGTATACTCACCAGCTTCATGTAATGCTCAGTGACTTTAGAAAGCGAGGAGTGCAGTGCGTCCTCAAGCTTGCAACGCGGACAGAAGCATATAAATCCCCATCCCTTTGTGCTCAGCTCCTTTCTCTGATCCAGAGGTTGAAAGATATCGAAATAGGCACGAGTGACTTCATCACCAGCACGCAAGTCCCGCGATGCAAATACAAAAAGAGCTTTTCCAACGAGCATAGGAGAAGAGCTAGGAAGACATGAGTGATTGATAAAAGACGGTAACCACCATAACCCCCAGTGCTCTACCTGCAAACAACTCAAAGTTATTCATATAAAATGGCAATCTGCATTTAATAGATAAACACTTCATGTAAACAACGACCTAAAATTAACAGCGAATGAGTTCAATTCAGACATAATTTCAGTGAAAACAAAACTTCTACTCAATAGAGTTGATGCGACCGTTACGAACTTCGACGTTTACGGGTAATGGCATGGAAACCAAAAAGATAAGACTAATACCTTAAGGCACATACATAACGTAATTTCACCACACTAAGATTGAGAAAGGAAAGCATTCGAAGCGCATTCAGAGGGCGTTGTTTGAAGGGACCCAGACATACCTTCTGAGCTTGATCGCCAGAGCCAGGTAAATTTTTCCATCCCATCGTGGCATCGCCATTGATCGCATTCAGCCGTATGATATGACGAATGCGTGCGGCATCCAATCGTTCTGAGGTTGCAGATTCTGCGTCTATGTGATTTACAGATGGTGTTGGAAGAACTGTTTCTCCATCATAGAGTGTCGACAGTTTCTCGAGACCCTTGTTATGTCCATGCCCAGCTTCAATGACTTTGAAAAATCCCTCCTGGACCTTTCCAGTTACTAAAGCCTGCGAAATTTCGTTGTGTGCTTGTTCATCCTCCGGTAATGGCAAGAAAGCCATAGGATTAGATACAAGTAGCAGCTCCCCTGCTTCCACATCTTTCGTTAATATAAGCCCCCGACCGCGCCCTCGGCCCACGTCGGTGACAATGACAGGACCAATGTAGTCTACACAAAAAGGGGATTCTCCCATCTGCTTTCCCTTCAAGTAGTAGTGAGCCAAATCGTAATGACCATGACAAGCTTGCTGAACACCAGTACTACTCTCGTGAAGTGCAGCTTGAAGGTCCCTGTCTAATGGAGCTCGAGGTGCAGCTGCCTGTAAGAAATAGAAAAACGTTGCAACAAAAATTTAGAATATATGGTCTAAGGCACAAGGGCTGTGGTTTGAAAAGCTCTGACTGCGACTTTAACATTCAACAAAGAATCTTTACAAGACGTTTGAAGCTCCAGCACCTGCAAAGTAGTCAGAGCTTGCTCGTACTGACTGAGTCCCAACAACGCCCTTCCCTTCCTGAACAAGCTTTTCAGATGGGTGGGATCTCGTGACAAAGCCTTTTTGGCATCTGCTAACGCCAAGCCAAACTCCTGCATTCGGATATACGCTTCAGCACGGTTGGAGTACCCAAGAATGATTTCACTTTTGCAACACAATTTCCCTTGACGTTTCTCTTCATTTTCTGCCAGACGAATACTTCTCGTGTAGAGGTCCGTTGCGCCCTTATAATTCTCCTCCGCAAACATAAGGTTGCCTAGCACTCTCAGGTCGTTGGCACTATGTGTTTCTACAAATTCACTTGGATGGTTGACTTCTACTTCTTGTTTTTCAGAACTCTGCCTTTCTTCGTGTCCTGGTTTTTCTGAACGTGCAGGCTCAACTGCTTCCGTACTATTGGCTCTGGCTCTGGCTCTGGCTCTGGAGTCTTCATCTTCGTGCACAGCTAACAAACTGTCGCTTCGTTGAAATTGCTTCCTTATAAGTGGAACTTTAGTCTCTGGGGCCACTTCTGCAAACTTCGGCTGTGTCTCGTTTGCAGCACCTTCACCTGCGAGCCCACAATTTTCGAGAGAAGAATCGCCTAGCTCTTTGCTGGTCGATTCTGTCACCCCCGCGGAAACTGTGTCTATCTCTTTGCTACTCTGCGATCCTGAGGATAGTAGCTCTTCTTCTTTGCCACTCATGTCCACCTTTATCCACTCTTGTTCCACCTGTATTTCGCTAAGCTCCTCCGCTTCTGTGCATTCTGCTTTACCACTCTTGTCCGGTTCTCCACTGACAGCCTCCTCAATTTTAGTAGCATCCAAGGAAGGTTTATCCACAAGTAATTCCTTTTCAGTAGGAACCTCCCCAGAGCTTGATGAATCCAAATCTTTCCCTTCAAGAACTTCTTCGGCCGTCGCAGGACCTGTTTCGGTTGAAACACGCTCTTCCACACTTACGGAAGGGACATTATCAGCTGGAGGACAGAGATTTCCCTTTGCAACACTCTGTGTAAGCTCGTCTTTCGTATCTGGAAGAGTTGCTTCAGGTGCTATTGAAGCGTCCGTCGCATCACTCACGGGAACCTCTTTCCGTTCGTCCTTCGATGGTGAGCTTCTACCTTTGGGTCCATCCTGAGAAGGAGAGCTCTTAGAACTGAGCAGTGCCGATGGATGGCCGTGAGACTTCGAGTGTAAAGAGTGAGTGTTATCCTGATTCATCTGTTTCATCTCTTCAAACAAATGAACCTTCCTCGAAAAATCTTCGTGTTCTCGACTCGTAGATTGGGCATATCTATCGTCGTCATACTCTTCCGGCCCTACAGCTCTGTAAACCGGGGTCCCATTTGCCCCAGTGATATCAGGTCTCGAAAGGAAGGCTATGTCGTGAGGACGCTCGACCAATACACCCACCACCCCATCAGGAAACCGAGTCAGATAAGGATCCCGCACAGTCACCCGCGACCCCTCAGGATAGCAATTTTGTGCTTGCGCCATGCTCGCCCTCATCGGCAACGCATTCGTCAAGATTAACTTAGTAGCAAGTCCGGAGTCTTCCTCCAACACATTCACCTAGAAACCCCAACAATTTACACGATTAGACCTCGTACAACCCAACAGTTGGTCTGCAGAAAATTCGGGCTACACAGGATGACGAATCACTAACCACTGAAGTCACTTTCAAGGATTTCGCGCACAGACGTCCTTCGAGAGCATGCTTGCGGTGAGTCTTCCCCACTTTCATCTCGGCGAGAGATAGAAGCTTGAAGTCTTTCCATGGCGACTCGGCGTGCACCGGAGGAATTGGAGGCGCCTCGCTGTCAGGCAACGAAGTGCCCGGCAACAAACCCCGTTCAAGCATGTACGCATCATGGAGAGCTGCTAGGTGAGCTGCAAGCAACCCAGCCTTATCGAATTTTTCTGAAGCGTGGACGGTATCCGCAAGTCCTGGTCCAATGAACTTGCTTCCATGAGAATGCCCCTGAGGAGATACTTCCGCCCTGTCATAGTGATGTACTGCTCTCTTTCCGGGGCTGCCGGAGGGTTCCATGTGCCCAAGGGGTGCGCTCATTCTCCAATAACAATATTCGGGTTAGTCGAAGATTTCAGTACCCTGAGATCTGAGGTTCGCAGCTCCGATTTCCAACTCACAATGGGCAGTACTTGTCCTCTTGCCATCAGCAACCCATCAACATCTACGCCAGCAAAGTCCTAACAGGTGAGTCGAATGCAGAAAACTAATGAAAATTCACGTTCCAATGCTGCCAAGATTCACTGTCCCTGCGTCTCGTCCAACTTCCTCTTGGACAATCGGATGAAAATGTAATTCAGCTGAAAATGTTGCAACACCAACGCATGTGAGAATAAGAATAGCGGGGTATTTGTGATGCTCTGATCCACTCCCATTCAAATCCAAAAGATGTTATGGTTACGGCAGCACCGACTGAAGTAAATGATAGGGACAAACTTGCCAAAAAAAACCGAGAGCTTATAGTTTTCTGACTCAGTTCCGCGTTACATCCACTTACTAACTGTGCACCAAACTAGGCTACATGCGACAATCTACACGGGTCCTGCACAGCCCGTTCTCAAAAACTCTAATATTCAATTGTGAGAGAGGAGAGAATGAGGGCAGCAGCTGCCCAACTTTCCACCTCAAGCTAGATCAAGAAACCCCAAAACACTCAAGGAATCTTCAGCCAACACAACGGAGAATAAAGAATCTACAAGCTGGCGTCAACCAATTGTTCACTATATTATCACGTTACACGACTCCTCACTAAGATTTCTTACAATACACTACTCGATAGCGCCTTGACAAATACTTCCACCATCCCCCGATAATTCTACTGGATTCACTGGCAGTCTGTCACCTCCACGCATTACCACCGCAACAACACACAAGAATCCCCAACACACACACACACACACACAAGTCCCTCTCTCTCTCTCACTGGCTCTCTCGCACCCTCTCCGATCCGGTCTTCCTCAAAACGCTCTCAGAGATTCTCAACGCCGCACCCCACGCGCAGCTGCATTAAATCCCTCAATCACCCAGCTAATCAAACAATCCCAAGTTCGTGCACATTGTGACCCCAACCCCACAACACCCACAAGCCAAAATCTAAATGCACTTGCTCTACCTGGTGAAGCGTCCGCTCCCAAGGCCACCGGGATCCCAAGACGGCGAGATGGAGAGGAGGGAGCGAGGTAGACCAGCAGTTCGCAAATGCTACATCGGTGGGGCTGGGGGATCAGTCCTCCTCCTCCTCCTCCGCATGATCCTGAGGCCGCGGAGATGAATGAATTCAAATGGGGGAGCTGAGGATGGGGAGGGATAGTGAGAGTGAGAGGGAAACACCACCTGATCCACTACTAGAGGGAAAAGCGGGGGGATGAAGAAGAAGAGCGTAGATAGATTGGCGATAGATCAGCCTCGTCCTCCTCCTCCTTCGTAGTTGCACCAACCAACCAACCAGGTTGGCCACGGCGTCGGCACGTCCTGAAGGAAGCAAAGGCCCAAGTGTAGCGGTGCCTCGTTCGTTACGCGCTTCCTCGCAAACTCACTCACTCGCTCGCTCGCCATCGCGCTCTCTCTAGATCCGTCCCTTGCGCGTTCCCCATGTTCTCAACCGCGTTCCTTCGTTTGTTCCCAAATGAGAACCTGTTCTCGTTCTTCGGTCCCGCTTTCAGCGCCCCTGATGTGCACCCCGTCCCCATCTCATGCCTCTCATCATGGCATGACGACTGAGGTATGAGGGCTATATGGATGGATGAATTAATAGACGAATGAATTATGGCGAATGGGGTAGTTCCATCACCGAGTGAGTGGATGGATGAAAACAGGGGAAGTGATCTGCGCGAGAGAGAGTCCCTTGGGACCCTAAAACTTCCGTCTTTCATTTGTGGGAGAGCAGCGCTGGTGTTGGGTGTTGATGATGGTGATTCTGCTGCTTTGTTCCATCGCCTCGATTCTATCAACCGTGGTTTTGTGATTCTCAAATAGAGAACTTGCTCAGCCTATGGTTTTGGGTTTGCTGCGTGGGATGGATCCCCAATGACCTGATAATATCATTTGCCCCGCATTGTTGTTGTTGTGATTGTTGTTGTTGTTGCGTGGTGAGTGAATGTTGTTGGAATGGGTAACGCATCGACTGGAATCCATCATCATCTACTTGGTGCCCGGAGTTGGTGGTGGTGGTTGAGATAATGGTGTGTTTCTGTGTAGTCGCTTTGTTTTGGAATTGGTACTCTCGTGGACATCCTGTGAAGAGTGAATAGAGGTCTTTTTTGAAGCGTGGCGTGTGTTTGCGGAAGAAGATGGCGGGGTCGGCGGCGTTGGCGGCGTTCGCCAGATTGGAAGAGAATGGTGATGACAGCCGCAACAGATCCTGGGACGCAGGTGCAAACTTCAAAACGCTGGCGAGCGTCTAGAGTTTGGTATTGTGTTGAGTTTTTTTCGGTGCCCAACCGTGTTTCTCCTCAGAAAACCAGGGTTGCATGAAATCAGCGGTTTGTGCTCCTAACGCCCAAGATGACCAGAAGTCGTAGTCGCCCCGGAAGGGATTTAGGAAACTATCTGGAATGGTCTTGAAAGTTAAGCCATTTCTGACCTCTAATTGGGATTTTTGGTTATTGTAGGGAGAGAAAAAAAAAAAAGCATCCATGTTGTCCAATAATCCAATCCTACCGTCATCTAGGCCCACTAGTGCCACATATACTGAACGTCAAGGATAAAAAACACCGATCCTGGAAAAGGCATTTCCCTTATCCAATCGGTTTCCGAGAGTTACAAAGACCCTAACCCACAACCTGAACCACGCCTTTGTCCACCTCTGCTCAAAATTTAACGCAAACTTAATCAGCAGCATTCAAGGCAACCATTACTGCGTCACTCTTCTGAAACCCTAAACTAAGCCACCGAGACGGAGATAGGATTCTTTGTGTGTGCTTCTATATTTACATACCTACACACATACATACACACATTTATATATATATATATATATTCTTTTCGTTTTCTTTTTCGTGTTTATCATGTTGGGTACGGTGAGAGTAGGCGCGACGTGCTCCAAGTCAGCTGTATTGGGCGACATCGACATAGAGTGCCAATCCCACAACATCAAAGTGTATGTGCGAACGCGGCCGCTGTCGAAAGACGAAGCCAACCGCGGTGACAATTCATGCATCCAAGTCAACTACGACGAAAAATCCCTCAAAGTAATGTGTGTTGTTTTGGTTTTGCTTGTTTCTGTATCCAGCTTTTTTAGGTCACAGTTTTATGTGATTATTTGCTTGTTTATATGCCTCATTTGTTCACATATTGCTTGGCTGATTGTGCATACAAGTTTTGCCAAAATTGTCTTGAATCCAATCCAAAGTGTGGCATGGGTTTGTATTTGCAAGATCATCAAAAGGCTGGCTTCACTGAGGAGGTTATACTAACTAATGTTGAATTTGAAAAAGGAGGATTTACTTGTTTGTTTTTTTGTTTGTCTTTTTTTTGTTGTTTTTTGTTTTGTTTTTTGTTTTTTGTTTTTTGTTTTGTTTTGTTTTGTTTTTTTTTTGTTTTTTGTTTTTTTTTGTAAGAGGTGTTTAGCAAATGATTCATAAACAATAGTGGAAATGAGTACAAGTATATGATCAATTTGACTTTGTGAGCTGTTTTTTTGTGTGGAATAGGTTGTGGAACAAGGTTATGGGTACAATGTCACCACACGCTCTTTCAAAGTAACAGCCAAACACTCACACACATACAAATTTCATATTTCTTCATTACAAACCAACATGAAGCAAAAAGAATGCCTAATTTTTTTAATGTCACCTACTCAAAAAACGGAATAAAACAAAATAAACTTGTGACCATGACCCCACTCCAAAATGTAAAAAACAAAACAACAAGAAAAAAAATAAAAATAAAAATAAAATAAACATACAAAATCCCCCAAAAATGAAAATGGCCAAAATCCTTCTACAACACAGTCTTGATAATGAAAGAAATGCAATATAAGAATAAATGGGGAAAAAAAAGAAGGAAAAAGTGCAACAAAGCACACCATCAGCTATGCACTTTTAGTTTATTAAATTATTTGATAACATACATACATGCATATATTTATTTATTTATTTATGAATGTGTTGGTTGGAATGGTATAGTTTGATGGGTGCATGGGATCTGAGGTGCACCAGCGGGATGTATTGAAGAAGGTGCACATGAAGAAGCTGCTGGACAAAGTGCTGGCCGGGTACTCTTCCACTGTCATGGCTTGTGGCCAAACTGGGTCTGGAAAGACTTTCACCATGTGTGGGCAGGAAGAGGTGGGTGGGGGCCAAACCCTAGCCCTAGCCCTAATTCTATTCCCTCCTTCCGCATTCCCAGTAAGAGTTGAGGGGTGGGCAGCCCACAGCACAAAATCCCCCCCCCCCAGTAAAAAGGGGTTGAAGGTCATTGTGAGTTGACTTAAAAGTGGGAGTCAGGTTTTAATTTTATTTTTAGTGGCGATTAAGCTGTTTCTGGACCATATGGAGGCTTTGTTTTTCTTTCGGTGCATTAACTGCTGTTATTATTTTATTTTAAAGTACAGCATAAATGATACGTGCAAATATTCTATTTAAAAGTTGAGGCCCGGCTCATCATGTGAAGGCTTCAGAGTGGGGTCCAAATTTGTTTTTTTGTAGTTTTTTACAGTTTTTATCGTTTTATTTTTGTTTTATTTTTGTTTTATTTATTTTCCATTCATTACTTTCTTTCTTTGAAGACGGAGGAAATGATTTTGTACTTTCTAGTCATATGAATGTCGCTTCAATTCAAAATGTGAAGAAACTCTCACATTGTAAAATGTCATCAACAACTTCGACAGATGGAAATTATTAAAAATTCTAAAAGATGTATATCTTAAACAAAAACACCAATTGAACTTATGTTGTTTAACTTGACACTAGCCTCCTGCTCAACCTGGGGATACATTTATCATTATTATTGTTATTTAGTTTGGAATCAGCTTGGTGTCTCTTGTAGAGATTTTGTGGTAAAAACAAATTATTCCACATTGCCAACTCATAAAAGGATTCATGCCCAGTTGTGTGTTTTGCACAAGGTGTCTCCTTGCAGGTAGCACGTAGTGAACGAAACCAAAACATGTGCAAAACTGTGTCCTATGCTTTTGTGCACATTGACAAAACCCCCCCTTGAAACCCAAATTTGAAGCATAGAACTCTAAAATGTTCATCCACATGGAAATCTGTCCACAGTGGGTATTTTATTATCACACTCGGCCATGTTAGAACACGCCTTCCCTCAAGCAGTTAGTTAGTCAGTTAATTTGCCAGTGAAGGCTCCGGGAAGTGGAAAATAGGAAAAAGCAGAACAAGAGTGAACTATGAAAATTGAGCTTGTGCTGGATGTGTGCAGAACCTGTTGTGTGACATGGAAGGAGGCGACAATGGCTTGATAGTCCGTTCTGCAACATACCTGTTCGAAGCCATGAAAGCTTGCGAGCACAACACACCGAACGGGCAAAAGCCTTTCACAATGAGAGCCTCCTACTTTGAGATTTACACGGAACAGGTGACACAATCTCATTAAAACCTGCTTCTTTTCAAGTCCCCACCTATCCTCAGTTGCAACGGCAACCTCTGAAGCACATCATAAACTCATTAATATGTGTTAGTGAAAGCTTGGACTTCCTCTTCTTCTTCTTCACCTTCTCGGGTTTGATTCACTTGTGGAGTTTATTTAACAACAGGTGAATGACTTGTTGCGGTTGGATAACGCACCGCGAGACGTGAAGTGGAGCTCACGGGATGGCTACTATGTCGACAACTTGTTGCTGGTGGATTGTGACACACTGAGTGATGTGATTTCGGTGCTCAACGAGGGAAGCCGGAATCGTAAGGTGGGAACCACGATGCTGGGCTCTTGTCCCCAAAACACTCCTCTCCCGCCTTTGTTGTGGAAATTGGCTTTGACATTGCACCGTGGTCAATCCTCCTCGTTTTTTTCATGTTAACGTATTTTTTAAATAAAAAAACAAAAAAAACTTTTCGTACCTTTTTTCTGGGGAGGGGTGTTCACAGCAGTTTGTAGGGTCAGTATAATTGAAGCCAGTTCGCGCATTAAATTGGGATCGGGAGAACAAGTTTCCCATGTTGAAAAAGGGAGTTTCTTTATTGCGGTTTGTGGCAGGTGGGTTCCCATGAGTTGAACAAAGACAGCAGCCGAAGCCACTGTATAATGACGCTTCATGTGGACTCATTGTGCCAAGTCGGCGATGATGCCCCTCCCATCACTCGGTACACCATTCCACACATGGCTCCAAAATTAGTGTCTGCAAGGAAAGGCAAGATCATCAAAGCTCAATACCAATTTCTCTATCTACTCTGGAGTCTTGTTATTCCTTTCTGAGCCTAACCGCTTTGCATTAGTTGAAAAAGGCTCCTAAAGATGCTGCATGCAGTATTCTCTTCTACAGGTCAATAACTGGAAAGACTCTCTGATTCCATTTTTAGCCATCTGTAGAAGCTCACTCACCAAGTGCTGGACTCCAGATATGGACGCATGTTATTTGTGGATCTCGCAGGCAGCGAACGCTTGAAAAAAAGCAAAAGTAGTGGAGAAATGTTGAAAGAGACTGGCAGCATCAATCGGTCGCTATTTACCCTAGGAAAGGTGGGTCCAAGGTGAAGTAAATAGATCTTTCTTACCTCCTGGATTGCTTTATGTCCAAGCGATTGTTTCGGTAGCTTGCAGTGACTTGACTGAGTCCAACGAGAGCCATTCCAGGTCTTTATTTTATTTATTGAGTTGCCTTTCCTTCATCTGTTTGAAAGTCTGCGTGTCACACCACCACAATCGAGTGGTCGTCCATTGTGAAAACCAAAAGAATCCCACTCATTCTTTTAGCCCGAGTCCCTAGCAAATTCCTTTTCGCATCGCAGTATATTTTCGTTCGTTTGTTTTGTCTCCGAGATTGAAGATGTTTCCAAGGTGCGACACTAACCAGGCACCAACCTTCCTCGCTGCTCCAATCCTCGGGCACTGCACGCCAAAGACGAAGCTCATTAGTTTTGACGTTTTGTTGAATTGTAATTCTTTTTGTCTCTTCTCATTAGATAGTCAGTACCTCCATGCTAGGTTTTCCCTTCAACTAGAGTTGGCTATTTCATAGCTGGGATTGGAAACGCCAACCTATTGGTACTAGACCGCCATCCTTAAGTAGTTTAAAGTCATTGCAGACCATTTTCTTCTCATTGTTTCATTTCTCTAATTTTTACTTCATGAGATATCGAGGAGGTTGATATTGTGGCATTGACAAATTTGTAACTGTTACAGGTCATATCAGCTTTAAGCGAAGGCAAAAAGGGGGATGTAGTGCCTTACAGGTCTGTAATTTCAAAGCCAGGACAAGTTGTCCATCAACACTGGTGCAATTTAGACGTGAAGGCTTCGGGGATGTTAAAACTGCAACTCCAATGACCCGTTAAAACTCTTTAAAGTGAGGGTCTGAGAAAACTAGAACAACGGGGAGTGAGTAGAGAAACATTCCAAGCCCAATTTACTTAAGGTGAAATCTAAGGGCAATAGGGTAGAAGTTTTGAACTTGACGAACATCAGGTTCGCAATAGAGAGGAATAAAACAACGAAACAATGACCACATCTCAATTGCCAAAACATCCCTAAACCCCGCAGATCCAAGCCTAGCAATAGCAATGACATTAGCTACAGAAATTTGTTGCATGAGCTCAGTTTGCGAGAAAATTGTTTGTTGCCAACTCTCTGTGATGCAGAGAGAGCTTGTTGACGAAGCTGTTGATGGACAGTCTCGGCGGGAAGAGCCTCGCCCTCATGATTGCCTGCATTTCTCCAGCATCCTCGGCCATTGATGAGACTCTCAGCACTTTGCATTACGCCACTTGCGCAAATAATATTGTCAACGCTCCAGCTGTCAATTTAGACGCCCGTGACAAGGTGAACAGCTTCATGTTGATACTAAATTACATCTGAAAACTGCGTATATTTGAGAGAGAGAGTGTGTGTGTGAAGCGAAGCAATTGAATCGGATCTAACGTTGCTATTGACCTCAGATTGTTCTGAAGCTGCAAAAGGAAATCGCTCATCTGAAAGAAGAAAATCAATATCTTCGTTCGAAGCTAGGTGAGAAAAATATCCAAGTACAACAATTTCTAAGTTTAGATAATGTAGCCACTCCGCCATTGTCAATGGCAAAGAGAGTCCGACATTCAAGTCAACGGTCGAAGTCGAGGGAGAACTTGCCATCAGAATTGAAGGGAATGGAAAAGTATTTCTCCAAAGAATCAAGAGGATCAAACAAAGACTTTACAAAAGAATTGCAAGGATTCAGTGTTTTTGGAAACTTCCAGGTCACTTCATTCTCTTGATATGTATCTTTCACTTTGCATCAGTAAAAAGAAATTATCATTACTGTGTTTACTGATAAATAGCTACTACTTTAAGAGAAGAAATATTCTCTCAAAACTACTGAGCCAGCTCATATCGACAAAATTTTTCCAGGGGAAGGATCGTATGCATAGATAGTAATATCTCATTTGAGCATGACAAAAAAGAAAAGAAACAATGTTCTCACTGGTGCAGGATCTCGCTCAGCAGAATGATAGTGATTCCTCAATATCGGATAGTTCGAGGTGTTCACTGATTCCATCTGAATCCAACAGGCGGAATCAAGCAGGTTCAAATGGCTGGGATTACGACAAGCCGGTGGACAGTAATGGAACGTCGAATGTTCAAAATGAACCACAGTGTTTGAAAACATCCAATGAATCGAACTCTCTCTTGGGCATGTACAGAGGTTTGGCCAAGTCCAACTCAAAAGGGTTACAGTACCGAAGGAACCGTGTCTCTGTGGATCATCTTGGTGGGTCAAGGATCAGGCTTAGAAGAGGAGGTGGTAAGAACGGCAAGCAAGAGCCTAGATTCCAAGGGAGCATAACAGTGAATCAAACCACATTTCTAAAACGATTACTTGACTTGAATTTATCTCCTGTACAGTGACACGGTAGAGTTTGAGGTAAGCTAAGCTCCACATGAACACGCTGCAACGGCAGTTGTAAGAAACTTTCATAATTGTACAATATGAAGCTTTGAGTTGCAAAGCAATGCGTTGTTTTGTACAGTTCATGACATAACATGCGCCATGACAAAATGCATACAGATAAGTAGACGATTTAATCGAGCAAATGGAACTTTTGCTAATGTAATCATATGACCCACCTTCATTGATCTATCCAGAAGACTTGATTCAAATGATCAAAGTGTGATCTGTTGCCCTGATACATCTTACATAAGGTATTCGGGACTTGATGTCGTCTCACTCAGAATATCGAACATAGGCTAACCAAGTCATCAACTTGACTATTTCAAGCTTCAGCTGAAAAGTCTGTCAACACCTATACTCCATCGGGAGAACTATCCTCAAGACACAAATCTCACTTGCAACTCAAATTGATAAATCTCACGATCCTTAGGATTTTGTGCAATTCCAGGTAGAATACAGGTGAACAAAGGCTCTACAGTAGTACAGTGTGCTAAAAATAACACGTGTTGCAATCCAGGTTTAAGATTTGAATCATACACTGCAATTGCTGTGACTCCAAACCAAAGTCTAAGGAAATCTCCCTGCCACGCGCTGCACTGCTACCTTGATTCCTTCCCGGTCGAGATTTGAGTTCAATTGTATTTCCTGCACCTGCCCATTCGGTAATAGCCACTCTCGTAAATAAAATTTTGAAGGAATCCGATCTTTTGAGGACTAAAAGTCGTATAATACGGAACTAAAGAAAACGCAGTGCACTCAACGGGTGCTCCTACGCGTCTATCGAGGCCTTACCTGTCTTCCTACACGGGCCAAAATGCTGAACTTCCCATCCTCAACAGGTGCCTGCACAAAGAAGAAGCCAATGGTTGCCCAACATCAGTAATCTTTAAGAGGACCAAAACGGAGTGCATGAACGCATGATAATGTGGGAAACACTGCAATTCATCAAATAAATTGAACAAATGTATGACGTAACTACCGACAGGAGCAAAACTTACATTAGCTAACCACAACTCCATATCTTGTGAAACTGCGCGTTTCTCGAACCTGGCTCTACCCAATGTAAAGCCCGTTATCCTGTCAAGCCCTAACACTAAGTTAATGATTTGCTCCTCATTCATGATAAAAAGACGAGATAGTCATATTCAAACAGCCTTCCTAAACATCACAAGTATTTATTCCAGGATGAAGGTGGACAATACCCTTCCTCGTTAAGCAGTTCCTCACAAATCTGCTGCAGCCCTGGCAACGATGTTCTGGAGAGCGTAGCACCTTGCTCCTTTGGCTCCTGTGTATTCTGCTAGATTGACGTGAAAATTAAGAAGTCACCAGCAACTTCCATGTTGTATACTCAGCCTTACAGGAACGAATACTTAAATACAAATGTTCTTAGTTCTCTATCAAACATCCTCATGTTAAAAGGCTCATCCTGCTGCAATTGAAGGATCACTTACTTGACTCTGCACAGGCATCGATTTATCAGGGGTTTCTAGACGAGGATCATCCTGCAGCTGTTTGATAGATAGATATAAATGCGATTTTTCCCTGCAACATTGGATTCTGTTAGTCCCTGTATGTTCCATGTACTGTAATCATTTAATTAGGATACAGCAGTAGCAAAAAACCAATGGATTTCAAAAACCACACTGCTACTGATGCTAACCAACGAATCTGCCCGAGAAGTTTACATAAGCAACTTCATGAAATCCAATAGACACGATCATTCAGCAAAGTCAATAATTGCTGTTTACATTTGATTGGTATTGAGAACCTTTCTATTTGGCTTATAGATAATTATTGACCTTAATCCAGGGAAATGTGAAACCTAGTATAATTTCTAGTAACAAAATCAGACGCCGTATAAGGACAAGCCTGAAGGTATTTTCGAGAGAACATACATAGAATGACGGTTACAAAAAAGAATTGCCACTTCACAAACATGGGTCCTGTATTACACCTAAACATACCATGGTTTCGTATTTCAGTTAAATCTGTACTGAATCAAACCCTTTATTAAAAGTTTTGAAGTAATGGTAGATGAGGGCCTGCCTTCAATCACCCAGAAACCCTTGCACTTGATGCTAGTTTTCGAAGGACAAAACAAGAACCAACAAACTAAAATATCTTACTTGTCCAGTTGTAAAATCTTGACACGAACCGACTGCCCTATTTCACAAATATCGCGGGGATTACGAACAGGATTCCAAGAAAGCTCTGAAGTACGTACGAGTCCACGAACCGAAGATGTCCCTGCAATTACAAGGCTCCTCACATTTCTTAGCGAAGACATAGTAAGTTGACTGAATAACACGCAAAATCCTGGTATGCAAAGCTCAATTCTATAAAATATCGATCGACCTTTCTGCTGAATCTCACGTCTCGATCAAAATTTCTGTGACCTATCCAGAGTGAAAATATTTGATCGACGAAAAGGGACACCAACAAAGGAAAACCGGCGATTGGCGAGAACCAAATTACGCACCATCTGGCAGTACGACGTCAACAAAGGCGCCAAAATCAGTTACAGAATTGACCTTGCCTTCATAAACCAAACCTTCCTCAAGTAGGCGCAAGTTTGCTTCCAACACTGCCTGTTTCTCCGAAAAGATCAATCGTCGTGTAGTTTCATTCGCCTCTATAATCTGATAACAACGGCGAACGAAAGTTGAGTACATTGCACAATAGTTTCATGCCACATCCAGCACGCAGCCTCAAAATTCTTCTGAAAGTCAGAGAAGGAGTGGACCTAAGCGTACTGTGCAAGTGTACCTTAACAGAGATGAAATCGCCAACCAACTCCTCAGCAAACTCGGAGAGAGATCTACTGCTATCTGATCAAGCGACAGAAAAATTTGTATACCTTTAGACTATATTCCACATTGAAAAACTTCAGATAAGCTATTATTGGTAGTGTAAAAACTTTTATTCGAATTTTAAACGTACACAGTAATCAAAGTGAAATTCACTCAGGAACTTCAATCCTTCTATACAAATATTGCTGGCGATCAAAAAGAGGTTTGGCTGTCATCACAATGACCAGCGAGCACCTCTAAGCAGGCGGCCCTGATCCATCTGTGAGAAAGGTAAAAACCCTTGAAGGGGGCCAAAGAGCACCACCAACCCGCCACTGTTACAAGCATCCACAACACCTCGGTGAATGCTTCCGCTTTCCATTGTCTCCTGAGCTTTCTGCCAGGCTGCATTTCTCTGCATAAAAAGATGAGAAAGCACAACTGTGAGACTTCATCAAGGTCAGCGTAGCATTGATCCGAAGGTACAAATTTAGATACAATCTGCTCGGTGGTGACAACACCAACTATCTCCAGATGACGTTTACAGTTCAGTACAAGCTAACGAGCTGCACAACTAGTGTATAATATCGCATTGGATCACGAATATCGCATCGGATTCTACTGCTGCTAGACATATCGAATGATAATGCATCAGTGGTATCAACTCCTCCTTATCTTACATGGCCACCGATGAAATAAAACAGCCAAATAAGTGGCCAAGTTTATACTCGTGAAGCTTGTCGGATAATCTTGACCACATTTGACGATTCATTTTCATGTGAAAAATCCACAGCGCTAGGAACGCAGGCACAGAGCGCATTTCACAATGTCAACCTACTTCAACCTTAAATCGTCAACCACTCGTGGCAATACTGAAACAGGCGTTCCTAGACTTGAATTGTTTAATTTTTTCAGTACAGTGCTCGTCCATAAAACACATGAGAATTTCCATTCAACGCAACTTGCTAACTCTCTTGTGCTATTGCTCAACATTTCGCCGCAGCACGTCCAAGCCATACACGTCCGCCAGCAATCACTAAAAACAGACTTAAATGAACAAAATCTCGCGTGGCACATCCGGAGTAAAATCCATCATCGCACTCAATTCGACGACTCCAACACCACAGCTGCCATTTTTCCCAATCGAAACCAGTATCATCGGCTTAGGTCACACCGCAACCACACCGGCCAGCTCCCTTACCGGATCGACCTTGGCAAACTCCTCCTCCTCCTCTATAAACCCCGTCCCACTCGTCTCCAAATCTGCACTCGCCACACAGCACACTAACCTCGCACTCCGTCCGTTCCATGAGGCGCGCCTAACAATCAAAGACTCGAGAGAGGAGTAAGAATTCGACTGCGAGAATAACGAAACGGAAGGAGCAGAGGTGCAGGCGCATGTAGCGCGGTTCGGGCAAGCGACGAGCGCCACTGTGGCATTCGATGCCCACATGGCTGCGACAACAAGCTGCACCGAAGGACGAGCTCCACGCGTGCTTGCAGCGGGGGGCAGGGAAGAAGCGAAGTAGGCACAACCGATGCTTAGAATCCTTTGAACAAAGCGGATTGCGCAGTGTCATAAGGGCTGCAACGAGGGTAATGACGGCGACGGCGACGGCGACGGTGGGAGACGATGGCTCTGCCTTCGACGGTGGGCCCAAATGTCCGAAGAGCCGTCATACCAATAAAGGGCTGGGTAAACCTCCCCCCTCATCCAACGGACGCCTAACGGGCGCCCAAAGGACGGGGAATGAAGAAGGGTAGTAAGATGAACGTTCTGGACGGGCAGAAGCGAGCAGTGATGCGGGATTCTTTGCTAGTCTCTTCCAATACTCACTAGTCGTGCGAATTTCTACGTTGCTGCGTTGGACAACGAACTTTGACCATTCCACGTCAGCACCCTCTTGACTAACGAAGACCCCCTCTTGCCTCTCCTTGTTTAGATAGTAAAGGAAAATATACGAATGATACTATTAATACTTTTTTGAATATATATATATATATATATATGTAATTTATTTTCTCAATAATCATATATGCTTTTCAACATACAATAATATTTTTTTATACTACAATGTAATTAAAGATGTATATATACTTGTAATTGTTTCTTGCAATATAATAAAGCAATTTAATCTATTGAAGATTTTCTATATAATGCCCTAATTACACTCCAAATAAGACATGCTCCTTAAAACTCCTATAGATGGGGTTTTAAATGATAAACAACTTGATTGTTCTTTGTTTTTATTAAGTAGGAAAAATTCAAGGTAAATTTTACAATATAATGCATAGTAGTAAGAAAATTTGTGTTATTAATGTCTTAGTTTAATTCAAGATAATATCATTATTTCACCAACCAAAGGCATATTATATATGTATTTTAATAATCGAGCTTAAAATCCGATTTCTTTACAAAATCTAACAAATTATCATTATATCTAATAAAATCTACAAAATTAAATATTTAAAAAGACAATGCAGAATCCAACAAATTGTAAAGATATCCAATATGATTAACATATTAAAAATCAAAAAAATAACATGATGATAAAATATTAAATAAATATATAAAATAAATAAATTTATATTGTATTATAATTTATTGTTTTTTTAAATGAAAAATTTTATGGTAAAATTTTATATTTTTTATAGACTTTAAGCATAAATTTCTTTGAAAATATAATAAAATCTTTTTTGATTTTTTAACATTATAATATAAAATATATAATTATTATATTTTATCATAAATTTTTATTTTATAAGTATTTTTTAAATAAAATATTTACTATTTTTATTTGCTTATTCTTTATATTTCTCTCATATAAAAGTAATATATATATATATATATATATATATATATATATATCCTTGTATATTAAATTAAAGACAATTTTATGAAATAAAGGTTTGTTGTTGTATAAAATGTATTTCTATATATATATATATATATATATATATATGTGTATATACACTTATTCATAGGAATTTTTATTTTATTTTTCTACATATTTTTAAACCAAAACAAACCAAAATATAAACAAAAATAAACAATCAAACACAAATACAAACTACACCATGATGTTTATTTTATATTTTTTTATTCTAGTCATCCAAGGTAATTTGTCATAGTAATAACTATTCTAAAGTAAATGGAGATATTGTACATAACCTAAAGAAGTTTATAGAAATATTTTTTCAAGTTATATTGTGGAAGTATTTATAAAAATTCAATAAAGACAAAAAGAATCAAGAAATCCTCAAAACAAATAAACAAAATAAAATTCGTGATTAATTACAACATTATATAAAATAAAAATAAAAATGAAAAAAATACACGACATTCTGAATATGTGTGCTGTAAAATATAGTGGTTTTTGAACATTATGCATTGAAGTATATTTTATGAATTAAAAAGATTTATTTGCAAGTGATTTTGTTAAATGTCTAAATTATAAAATAAAAATAATTCTTTTAGAGTTTTTTACATACATGTATCTATACAAATAAACATTTATGTTTAGAGCTTTAAATGAATCATGGCATACAAAAGACATTGATTACTAAATCAAAGAGTATTTTTATGCTTTCTAATTGAAATCGTAAATATTCAGTACAAATAATAGAAAAGAAATTACAATAATTGTATTTGATAAAAAAACAAAAACTCAGACATAATATCCATCATGCTAACGTACATAATCCTCTGTTGTAAAGTTCAATGCTTAAAGTTCAAAAATGCTTACAAAAAATGCTTTTTGGTGGACATATGTATTAAAATAATCAGTACTTGATTAACAATGTGAAATGTTTTGTGCAAAATCTACTGACATAAATGGCAATATTAAGGCACAAGTTGAGGTAATTGGTTATTACTAGTCACTGGAATTTAATCAGCTAGTGTAAGATCAGCAACAACATGTGATTAGTTTTTCAAAGTTCTTCAACATTAGTGAGCTTAGATAGATCAGTGCATGGTGTATCATGAAATGCTTCATAAGATCAAAGAATCAGAAAATAATTTTTAGATCAATTGTTAAACAACCCTTTGAGCTTCTACACAAGTTTTAAAATTGGATAGGAATGAATTTGAAGGTATAAAGTCACATACCAAGAAAAGTCAGCACCAGAAATACTCTTTGTTGCAGTCAAGTTCTACGTCCACAAAACAATTTCAAATACGTACGGCTGCACTTTGAAACAAGCACAACTCTGTTGAGCAGTGCCATCCACTAAAAATTGGATGACCAAACATCATTTTCATCGTTTGTGCTCGGGCTTAGAAGAAGTCTAAAATTTGGCAAGTATTAACTGAAAGTCACTCAGAATTGAGCACATGAAAGCCCAGAGTCTGGAATAAATCCGCGAGATTTATTACCTGGAAAGACTACATTTCAATTGAGGACAGAATTACCTCCCAAAGGATAAACAGAAGGAATTGATTTCAGAAACTAATTGATAACAGTTACAAAATGATCGTGAACCTAGGTTGAAGGCAGCGTAGCTTGCTAAGGTCAAAATTTGTTGATTACCAAGTATGGGGTTTCATAACAAGGAATAAAATGGTCAGGGGAAAAGAGCATCAACAAATGATTGGGCATCAAAAGGTTGCAAGTCGTCGATTCCTTCCCCAACGCCCACGAACTTCACTGGAATTGAGAGCTCATCCACAACGCTAACCTGTTCACAGTCATTCAAACAAAGAGAGACACATGAATATTTGAGACTTTTTTAAATGCCGACGACAACTAGCCACATTAGAAAACGGCCAGGATCTTCTCAAGTAGCATGATTTTTCCATTATGACTGCGCATGAAAAAGTGCAGAACTCTTCACTGAGGAACTACCGGACTTGTCCGCAACAGATACCAATCACAAGAAAATGGCTAAACGCATAGATCATGAGACCACTTTGGCAGCTTCTACATAACCATTACTACCTCTTAATGCATAAAGTTTGCCAGCTCCAAAAAGACTCATGATATGTTTGTAGGCCATGTGATACTGAATCAAGATGATGAACTCCCAATCAATGCAGTTTAAAATGGATTAGGGATGCTATTAAAAATGAGAGAGCATACCACACAGCCACCTCGAGCAGTGCCGTCCAGCTTGGTCAGGATGAACCCAGTTACACCAATCACCTGTTTCGCATGTTCAATATTCAAACGTTTAGCAGAATTCAACTGCATTTACTGGAATGATGGGTATCAGGGAGGTGAATACCTTTCGGTGAATGCTAGTCCCTAAGTATTGATTCAAATAGCAAACAATCCCCCACAAAAAACGACCTCTGCTGAAGAAAGCCAGCTCTAAATTCAAATGGCAATCTTCAGCTCATTTATTAGCAGTCACGAAATAGCCCAGAGATAAGGCTGGCATGGGGTGATCATCACTCATAAAACAATAGACGTGTGCAATGGAATGACTGCAAAAGAAAAAGGTACCTGATTGAATTCTCTAGCTTGTGCAAGCATGTTCAGGCCTGTCGTCCCATCAAGAACTAGGAGCACCTCCTGGATACGACAGTAATTTCGTGACGTTAAGAGGGTAGCTTAGCAACACAAGAACTTCCCAAAGACTGCATTACCCACCATTCTTTGCTTTCTGTTCAACTATGCATCCGAGGTTCTGAATAGATCGAAAACCATATAACAAGGTACTGAAACTAGTGCAACCTCAAGATCCTTGCATAGAATTTCATTAACAAACTTCCTGAAGAAAGTCTTGTGTAACTTCATTGACAAATACATCGAACGTGGACTTGAGAGTACAATTCCAGATCACGTTGGATATTTTGTAACCTAGTGTGGAATTGCACCCAGTGTACGTGTGCACTTCATAAAAAAAAAGTGTACTTTGTGACCCTTCCCACGAAAAGTTCTATAATATACCCACAAAACCCAGAATTTCAGCATTTCAATCTACTCAGAAGACATCCATGCAGACATAGCTGAGACCTGTTTGCTGGCCTAGCATCCTGTAAATAGCAAGTACTACTGCCATTGCTTTTCCAAAATGCATGTTTACTAGTTACTCCTAATTAGAATTTTATTTGAGAAAAGAAATTGCCACATTCAAGGTAGACCTCAACGGTACTTGTAACTTTCAAATCACATACATTGGGTGCGCTTGAAAGAGCTTTGCTGACGGCTCGCTTGCATCCACGCAATTCCTCCATCAGGTTATAGTTTGTATGTAGTCCTATGCAGCCCCGATTTCACGATTTCAAAATTAGAAACTACAAACATAATTAGATGAGCAGATTAAAAAACTCAGTCAGTAAGTATGCAATCATGCAGTTAAATCTAAATAACTTACTTCCAGAGGTATCGCAAAGCACGACGTCAAAATCTTCTTCGACTGCCCGACGGACAGCCTGGGACAATACTGCACAAGGCGGCCAACACATCAATAAGTCTGCTGTCACTCACGCACTTCGTGCCACCTTTAGTAAAAGCCTCGTCATGATCTTTACCAGCATTCAGCTACCAATTCTGCCTGTTGTCATACCTGCAGCAGGTCTAGGTTTAGGGCCCTCTGCCATCACGATCTCTGAACCCGTCCGCTGAGCCCAAACTTCTAGCTGCTCACCAGCTGCAGCTCGAAAGGTGTCACCTGCCGCCATGAGCACCTTTAACATGCCAGGCATAGTTGTGCACGTTATGCAGCCATTAGCACCTCACGCTTCTCTCACAGATAATCATGACTAAGTCATTGGTTTTAAAATTTTAAAAACTTGGAACTGGACAGAAAAATACATGCTCAATATTGGTTACAAATGTACATCGCGTGAAACCAGTCAATGTGATAGCTTTTGTGTACACAATTTCAAGGGATGACGAAAACAACATACTTCAAGATTGGCTTACATTTAACATCGCCAATTAGCAAGATTACACCTCCTCACAATAAATTTTCAAATAAACAATTTGGTTTCAGAATAAGGTTTCAACATAATCCAATCATGCTTTAGGTCAAGCAAGCCAGCCTGATCTCGCTAAATATACTTACAGTCGACTAGATTTCAGAGGGAAGTACTATCTATAAGCCTTAGCGGTTAGCAAGACTCACCTTTACACCTTCTTTCTTAAATCTATTCGCTAACTTTCCTGTCCAAACAAACCGAACATACCTTAGAGAAACGCAAGCCTGGCAACAGTTGAGAATGACTAAAACTTGGATGATAAATTTTCTGGTCGTGACACGTGAGCAGAACAAATGTCTTCTTATAATCAATTCAAACTTACCAAGAGTGGTGGTTTTTCCTCCTCCATTTACACCGACAATCATGAGTACTGCAGGGCGACTGCACACAATTGTGACGCAACAAGACCACTGTTCGTTAAAGGTGTGAGAAAAATAATCGAAGTACAAAATTGTATGAATACCTTCAGCCCATACATAAAATAAAATAAAACATAGTACTCCGGCATTCAAGGTTGTAAGGATGCGAATTCGACGAACCTATTGCCCAATTGAAGCTCGGTGGTGGTCACTCTTTCAGTTAACAATTTAAATATATTCTTTTTCAAAGCTTCCTTCAGAGCAGTACAGAAGCACATCAACAATGTCAATTTCATCCACGTAATTAATCTTTTCTATTTTTCTTTTCTTCTTTCTTTCTTTTCAAAAAGCATAAAATAGCAAATGGATTCTTATAAATTTCGGTGAATCCTAAATCCATACAAATTTGCTCACCAATTTCAATCCTAACATTATTACACGTTAAAAGCCTGCTTCCTTATAGACAGAAACAGCGATTGAGAATTTAATATAATTTTCAGTCTAAGAAGAACTACGACGGTAAAGGTGAGGAAACATCAACCTTGATCTGTGGTCCAGACTTCAACCTGCCTGCGAGGATGTCCTTGCGAATGGTGTCCACAATCTTCAGAGCCGTTTTAGGCCCAAAGTCGGATACAAGCAATACCTGTGCCAGTGTGCAACCCAGCGAATTAAAATCCTTCCTTTCCCATAAAACTACTGCTTCGTGAGCCACTTCCGTGCGTGTGGTAAGGCCATGAGGATTAATAAACAAGAAACAAGATTAGGCAATTCCCTGTGGCGTCCACGAATACAACACTTAATTGAGAACGAGAGCCAGGTAATCCAACTACTCAAAAACTGAGCCATATAGAATTCAACTAAAGATGAAAATTCGCAATAAATGCGTAAGCTCCGAACCTCTTCTAGCTCGTCAAGGATACTCTCAGACTCATCCAAGTTCCAGTAGGTGAGCAGCTCGTCCACAACGGCCAGATTCTCTCGCGTTTTGGAGAAGCCGGAAAACAGAAGCTGAATATCGCTCTTCGCCTTCTCCTTAATAACACGGCCTAATCTTCCTAGAAACCCTACCCTCTGCCCGCCTTCACATCTCACCCCGAACACCCTCCGCCCCGACGAAGACGGTGAAGAGCACCACTGCCTGCTGCCCGCATTGGCCACCAAACGAACCGCATTCGCGGAACACGATCGCCAGTCTTGGTGCTTCAGCTGCGGAGGCTGCACTACAACGCCAGATGGCGCAGACAAGTTCACCATGGTCGCCATGGCCAATTCAAGGTAGCAGCAAATTTGCTTCAAAACACATCAAAAACACACTACGGAGCTCTAGAAAACCTTCGTGTTCTTCCTCCTCGTTGGAGGACACCGCTCGGATCACCTTAGCTGGTTGGATGAATGAACAAATAAATGATAATCGTTGGCATAATCTGCAATTCTCATTCATTCGAAAATCGAATTCCGTTGGGAGCCACGGGAATAGGGCAACCGAAGAAGCCTGTTCCGAATCGGAAACTGCTCTCCTCTCCAACGCCATGGGAGAGCAAATGCGCAGGGTAGGAGGTCTCTCTTTCCCCGTTGCGGAGAGGGACGGAGGGTTGGTCCCTGCGAAATTAACAACTTGCAACGCAATGCTGTGAGCGGTGTTGTGTCTTAGTTCCATCCCGATAATCTGCACAGCTTCATCTGACACCAATCAGTCAGTCAGTCTCTAAGTCTCTACGGTTTGGTGTCGCCTTGTGAGATCGTTCGATCTGGACCGAGGTTGTCGACATGGTGGTGTGTAGATGCCGCAAGGTGAGTGCGTGCGTGCGTCCCTGCCCTAGTTGCACCACACTTTTTTTTTTTTTTTTTCTTCTTCTTTTCTTTTCTTTTTCCTCTTCTCTCAAAACCTGATTCAATAAAAGCGCGAGTAGATGGTTTCACAATTGCGGTACGCTAATCGCTGTAGTGGATCTAGAAAGGGGATGGTAGGAGGAATTTTTTTATTTCCGGAAGGAAATCAGAGCTTCCTCGGATATGCGCCTAGCATGGAACTACGTCGCAATTGGCACTGGTTTCAGAATATTGTTTCGTCGACATCGTAGGCGTGGACCTGGCTGGCTATTCTCGACACTGGGTGTTGTTCTACTGATGATTTTGTGGAGATGTTCTTGTAAGGAAAGTCCTCGATTTTTTCCCGTTGTGTTTGCACAGGACTTCGTCGTGTTAGGAACAATCTCGCCGTCTTGGGATAGTGCCGCATTGCTCTGTTGTGTTACACAACTCTTATGGTTTCACTCTCTCTCTCTCTCTCTCTCTCTCTCTCTCCGAGCAAGATGTTTGCATGGTGCATGGGCTAAATGAGCGCTAAGTATCGATCCTGATTTTATCGATTCCCTAGATCTTGAAGAGGTAAAACTATTCCACGTTCTGGATGATCAAATATCACCTCAGTTTTTAGGTCGATCTCCAGTACTTCTTTTTACTCATTCTGTAGGGTTATGGGAGGTTTACTGTGAACACAAATCTAGTTTTTGTTTGAAATGATTCTGAAGCTTTATCAGCCTTTACTAGTGATAGTACAAGGCGTCCTCCTACTCTACCCTTGTGGACTTTTTGGAGGGGCTTGTACCTTGTTTTTTAACCATGGGATGTTACGATGGTCCTCCTTAACAAGTGGCTTTTAGGAAGCCGTCAAAGATGCTGATTCGTTCATTTCTTTGTTGATGGCCAGGCAACGAAGGTGTACTGCTTTGTGCACAAGGCACCAGTATGTGCGGATTGTATATGCTTCCCCGAACATCGGCTTTGCGTGGTGCGCATGAATTCGTGCTGTTGTGGCAGTGGATATTATTTACAATCTTATATTTAGGCTATCGAGTACCTAATTTCGTTAGACTGTGTCAGGAAAACTTAAGGGTACTCGAGCATTCCTACAGTGAGCCATAATTTTGAAGGGGTGTCCTCGCTATAAGCATCTGAAGAGAACTTGGAAACCTACCGTATTGTGCGAGATGTACAGTTTGAGCTACAACTGCTGTTTGAGGAATAAGCTTTCGATTTCCTAAGTTTATGTCAACCTTGCAGGTCAAGACTTACTCAGACTGGGTTATTGATGGCGACTATGATTGGCCTCCTAGATGCGGTGGATGCCAGAATGAAATGAAGGAAGAAGATACCACTACTTTACGTCTTGGGTGTTTACGTGAGTTTTTTTTTTTTTTTTTTTTTTTTTTAAATCATTTTTCATTAAATGTTTTAAGCATACTACCGAACAGATGCGTTTCCGACGTATGAGCTCAAATCTGATGATCGGAAAGTTTGTCGATAAATCTTGCAATGTCTCCGTTTGTGTTGTCTTTTGATGAGATGTGCAAAGCTGAATGCGGCTATAATTGAATTGTAGATAATTTTCATACCAACTGCCTTCAAGTACATTTGGAAAACTTTCCACCACATACAGCCCCTGCTGGGTTTGTCTGCCCTTCGTGTCCTACAGCTGTAAGTCATGATAGAATCTTTAATTGAAAGAGTTGCCATTTCTCATTTCAATCAGTTTTTTAGGCTTTCATGTTTTGCATCCATTCAAATTCAGGAAGGATGAGGAGCGATTTTCTTCGCAAATGCTATTCCTGTTGACATCCGTAGGTAGATGAGTTGGATTTCTCCCTCGATTGTCTGCATTGGAGTAGGTTATGTAGCTGACATCTTGGTCATCTATATTCTTATAAGACAACTGATCTATTGACATATTTCTGCTGGACTTGACACTTATTGCCTTTTTCCAGGTTTGGCCCCCAAACAAGTATTTCAAGGAATCTGGTTCCGCTCTATACAATAGTCTCAGGGAATTCATTACTCAGGTGTGTGTGTGTGTGCGTGTGTGTGTTATAACACTCACACATGCTTGATAGTATTTCTACTCCGTTTATTTTAATTTTTTATTCTTTCATTTTAAAATCATAAATAAGACGGGTGTGGTTGAGTTTCTACCATCGTCAGCTCTTGCTGAGATAGCAGTAGAAAACGCTAGTTGCGTTGTAGAAATTATCATAACTTGTAAAACGAACTAGGTTATGTGAGCAATTTCTTGTAACCTTGGATTGTTGCAGGTTAGTGTGGCAAAAGTGCTTCTTGGAGCCGATGCAGCTTTTCAGTCAAGAGAAACTCCTCCGGCATTTTCCACACCCCCTCTTGCTGAAATTTCAACATCTGCTGGTGTATCATCTGAGAGTGATGGAGTAGCTGCAACTGTCGATGCTGGTTCTGCTACTGTTTCTGACAATTTGGAAAGCAATCCTGATAACAGTGAAGGTCCGCTGCCCATAGGGGTGAATGTGGCCCAAGACGTAGCTCCAAGAACCAAGACCAATGGCTCAACTTTTGGATCAACAAATATCAATATAATTTCACCTGAATCTCGGTTTTCCAAGGCCTCTTCAGCAAATGTAAGTGAGTTGGAAAACTTTCTTCCCCAAATCTATTTTGTGACAGAAGTTTGTACTATTCTTCTAAAACATTCGTTCCTAAACTATGAATTATCTGGAGATGCTTAGAATTGAATTTTCTAGTTTGTAGCAAGAATTTTGAGTCAGATTTTAATCTCACTGCTTCTTGTAGCAATCACAACCAGGAGCCACAACACGTAAGCATGCTATGCGTATAGATAGATCGCAGTCTGGAAATTATGTGGAACATGATGACAAGTATTCCAAAAGAGGTAAGTAGTACCGTGACATTGAGAATGATGATTCAGTACAATACGCTTTACTTCAGATTTGGCCATATTGTCATTGATTGCGTGCATCATAGCCTTGCGAGCCACTATTACATGGAGTGGAGTAGTAGCGAATGCTGTTGACGTAGTCAACATTGATGCATATGCAGGTCCTGCTTATAAAAACCTTTTGAAGTTTGTGCCATTCTTTTCAAGTTCACTGCCGACTTTGCCTGTATCTGTTGTTGATGGGGAAGAAGTAATGGATGATCGCCGCCGACGTCGTTATCGCTCATCCACAGTGGATGTCAGAAAATTGATTCTTTTATTTGCTATTATGTAAGTTTCGATCCGGTTATCTTCTGTCTCACAAAATAGCTGCCTGATCGTTATTCCCTCGTATCGTTTATACCCCACTTAAATGTTTTGTAGTACATGTTGGTTTTGTTGATGAATCCTTGTCTTGTATTTGTTGATCTATCAATCCGCTTTGGTACTTCCATCTTGCAAGCTTCAGAATTCAGAGCCTTGATAACTGCTTTGTTTAGAAATACTTGACCTCTTTCTCCTTTTTTAATAGGTCATGCATGGCTACTGCGATGCTGCTTTACTACCGGCTCTCTCAGAGCGCAGGCTTTACAGAGGATGCAGATTCGGATGAACAGTGACATTCGACTTTGGTCTGATTCCGGATCTGAGTCCATCGACTGATAATTATTGACGAGTACTTAGCATAGGCAGGTGGCTGTCGCACAGTTCATTTGGATGTCCTGAAGCTCACTATAATATAAAACCATTTGATTCTACGTAGCTGTAAGTGAATGTGATGGTTACACTTACCAGCATCATCTTTACCTCTTTTGTCTGTCAGTAATCCCAGCTGTCCGGTCAGCAGGGAGATATGCTAGTCCCATTTTTTCCATGCCCCTGTTTCGCCAACTCTAGTTTTCGGTGTAATGTGACCCAACGAACTTGTTCACTCACTTCGTTTTAGAATTAGCAATTGTGCCGGATCCTGACAAGCCCTGCTACGTTCACTGTGATCACTGAGTATTTCAGGCTAATCTGTTCCAGGAACACTTATCTCGTAGTGTGTGAACCTGGAGACTGACCAATGGATTTTTCACTTTGTGAACCCACCTGCACTATTAAATAAAAAAGAGATTGAATCCATGGCAGAGCGTGGAGATTATCTTAAACGCTCACGCTAAGTAGTCATCTGCGAAAAAATTAACGGTTTAACAGCGCTAATTAGGGCAGAGGGACCACCTGTAAACTAGGTCGTGCAGCTTATCTTACATTTTTTTAGTACATTCTAATGTATCAAGATACTTTTTTCTTAACTTCCACCTAAACTTTTCAAGTTTTTAGTTTGAGATGATTATGAATGCACCTCTCGAGTTTTACAGACAACACCCAGAATATTATCTGGTTGGTGATTGGTAATGATGCACAGCTTCTACGGGGTTATTTCATCTAGAAGTCCACTCCGGTCCATAGACCTTATGGAGGGTTTCACTTATTAGAGAAAAATTGCTTTTTGGGGTTCTTGTGGGGATAGTAAACAAGGAGATGATGTTATTTAATACGTTTTTTTTTAATTTTTTTAATCACAATTCAAAAAAGGAATATCATAAAATATCTCTTGTTCCTATGTTGTTTGTCTCTAGTTTCATTTAAACCCTTTTCTTGTTTGCTCATTTTTAACTATTTCTTTTTCTACTATCTTACTTGTTTATGTTTTGTTTTTGAGAAATTTCAGCACCATTGAGGATTGGAGACAAAAGTTTTATGTTGTACTAATGTTTGACCATAGGAATACAACATGCAAGCATTGATAGTAAAATGTGGATGAACAAATACTAAAACTATCACAAGTTTTTTTACAACTCGGATATAAGAGATTCCCTATTTATCGTCATTGCATTACATTAATACATATTTATATTTTAAAAAAATTCATGACACCATGTACACGAGCTCCGAGGCAAGGATTGGCTCTCCCGAGGGAGCAATCCACGTGGACCATGAACTCAAGGCACGGAAACAGGGGAGCACCGCCGCAGTACCATGTCTCAAGCTCGTATGACCGACCCATTCCCCGTCAGGCCCAGTCAGCGCGGTGACCTACTCCCGCGGTTTCTGTCCTCTCCCGTCCGTAACGTCGTTACGGGGGTTCCAATTCCGCGCCGTAGAAGTACGATCCATGAACTGATCCGTGATCATAAGCTCCTCCTCCGTCGGAAGCCGAAAGGGTTTGAAACCATTTGATGTGTTTCGAGACGCTGTTGTTATCATTTGCAACGATCATCGCTGAATACGATCATTCTTAGCATTGCTTGAAACGGACTGGGAGGGATCGACCGTTTGCTTTGTGTGTACAAGTGCAGGGGGTGTTGGTATTGCAGGCGAGGCGCGTAGGTTTGAATACAGCTTGAATTTGGAGGGGGAATCAGGGAAACCTCAATGAGTTTAATCGACATTTTAGCTCGGGTGGATGTGCTGTGCAAGAAGTATGAAAAATATGATGTTGATAAGCAGGGAGGAGCGGATTCTGTGTCCGGACAAGATCAGTTCGCTAAGCTGTATGCTGTGGTTGAGGCTGACATTGAGGCTACCCTGCAGGTCTTGTCTCGTTTTCATGACCAATGCTTTTTTCTAGTTTGTTGCTTTGTGCTCCCTTTTGGTCGGAGTTCAAAATGTAGACAATAGCTGGAAGCTGATGGGTGCAAGCACCTCGTGGTGTGTAATATAGACGATTTTCATGTCACCTCTTTCTTTGAGAGTCCTTCTTTGCTATGTCTTGTCCCCCTAGATCCGGTGCTACATTGCATTTTTTTGGAATAAATGTGCTTTTCTAATTTAGTCTGGATCGACGTTTGGCTGCGATTCTGTCTTCACTCAGACTCAACATAATGGTGAACTAGGTGGTTTCGCCTTTTATACCAAGTGATGGGTTGGTCATGGTTATTGCTACCATTGAAGATATTACTGTGGAGCACATGTGTGCTGATTGTTTAACTTTGAAATGCAGAAAGCTGAGGCGGCCAAAAACGAGAAGAACAGAGCTGCTGTGGCCACTCTAAATTCTGAAGTGCGGCGTAGCAAGGCTGCTCTGCGAGCTGAGCTTCCTAAGCTTCAAAAATTAGCCGCCAAGAAGGTCCATGTTATTCCATCATCATTGATATCTAAAAAATATAAATGTACGTGGTGGACTCGATGAAGGAAGAAAACTGGTCGCTTCTAATTTTTTCTGCATGTTACGCTGAATATGAACGGATATATATATATATATATATATATATATCCGTTCATGTTCATATATATATATATATATATATTTGAACATTTTTTTCTTGGTTTTTCATTTTAAAAAGAATCAAACTAACAAAACCATGCTTTCATTACAGTTCCAACTACAGAAACAATTTTCCTATGTTTTTATGGCCAAAGTAATTTTATAAAATGAGAATAAAAGAAGTGTGTTTGTTTTAATGACGTCCTATTCAATTGACTGAATCCAAGTGGACACATCGAGTTTTTCTTCAGCTTCATGTTTAACTTTGCTGAAATTCACGAGCTTTAGTACATCCACGGTTTCTTAGCATGACATGTGTATATTCTGATCAATTCTTGTTCCCGAAATCGGAAGGCAGATAAGGGACATTACGAAAGAACAACAAGCAGCACGATTAGACATGGTAGAGGAACTCGCTGCAAGAATTGACGAAATTTCAGATGGGGTCGTTGTAAATCGCCAATCTACCATGTTGGGTGGAAAGGCTGGGATGAGCAAGCCCATGGAGATCAGAGTTGATACCATGGATCCCGGTAAGTGTCTCATTCAAAAGAAACAGCTAATTTTATCATTTCTTACGTATACCTTTGTGGTATCCCACAGTAAAACCCACAAATTTCTCTGCCCTTTGCTGAATCTATTGAATGTCTAATGCAAAGATTTCCTTTTTCGGTAGATGATCTGATGCGTCCTGAGCACTACGAGGATACTGAGGAATCGACCAGTTTCAGGCAAGAGTTCCAGGCAAGGAAAGCCAGGCAGGTACAGCACCTTCTTGCACTGCATTTTCGATGTGCATGGTCTGGGTTTAACATTCTAGGATACCTGGTAGACTAGGGTTTAAGTTCGTGCATCCCTGCAGTTATTGTAAACATTGTTTTTCCTTAGCAATTTAACACCTTCTTTCAACATCATCTGACTCATCATACCATCAAAAAACTCTAGTCTCGTATTCTTGGTCGCACATCTCGATTGGTGTGCTGTTTTTAATGTCAGCCTACTAGGTAGGGTGTCTATCGTGGTAGTGCTACTCAAAGCTCTTCCGGTGGAGTAGGATGGTTCACTAGTTGTAGAGAACGGCGTAGAGACCTCCGAGCTGTGTAAGCTATTTAACCTGGGCTTAAGGGGAATAATTACTGCTGAAGCACTGTAGCTTCTGATGCTGTTGGGATATTTCTGAGATTATAATAGCAAGATTAAAGCTTATCATTCGAAGATAATCGAATGCCTTGCGGCATTGGCTTGTCGGTGTTTGCTTCGCCGTTGAAAGTCGTCTTGATCTCCTTTTTTTTTTTTTTTTTTTTTTTTTTTTGTAGTTCAGAAGCATTCACAGTGGATTATTTGTAGTCTGAAACCTCACTGGGGCAGGCTTACGAGAACATTGTTACGAGACTTGTAAACTTTGTCATGCGTGCTTGGCGTGTTCTCCATCTGTCTTCAGGACCAAGGGCTAGATGTGATTGCGGAAGGTCTGTCTACTTTGAAGGATATTGCTGCAGATATTAATGAGGTAATAGTGTTGAGCATGCAGTATTATGGACTTTTCTATTCAAGAGTATAATTAACAATGTTGCCGATGAGATTAAATATGCTGGTACTTATTATCAGGTCCGTTTGCTTGCAGGAACTGGATAAACAAGAACCTTTGATTAACGAAGTGGACACAAAGGTTGGTATATGAAATTCAAAATTGAGCTCCGTATTTTCTTTATTAGTTTGGAAACATTTGTTGCTCTCAGCTACGAAGCAGCTCATTAGTTGCCCATTTCGCTAATTTGTGAAAGGCTGGTTGAACTCCTGCACTTCCACATATCTGGCGCGAACAATAGCTAATGTCTGCGCGTCCAAACCCGCCTGGATTTAAATTCAGATAGTTCTATATGTTTGGTGATGGACAACAGTCCTCACTGCGTGGGGTTAATACGTGGGGGGTTGTAAGTGGGTATATATATTACATTGTTATCTATTATATTCGATCTTGAAATCTAACTGACTTCATGGCTTCTACCTTACTGAGATGCCGTTTTAGATCTCAAAAATTTCTGATGGATGTCTTCACGGCCTGGCCTTGTACTGAAAATCAGATTGATAAAGCCGCAGCTGATCTCAAGAACACAAATGTCAAGTTGAAGGATACCGTCACTAAGGTGAATCTTTCTTGTGAATTAAATTTTGGTCAATGTCTAAGTGAAATTGAAATCAAATTTGTTGAACAATGCTTCAGTTGTATTAATGTTGTGTATCTGAAATTGAAATATTTGTGTTGAGTTGCAGTTGAGGTCAAGTCGCAACTTTTGCATCGATCTCATTTTGATAGCTATCATCCTCGGCATTGCAGGCTCCCTATACTCGTAAGCCGTAACCCTGACTGATGCTCCACTCCGATCATCTCACGTAGATTTTTGTGTTGCGTGACAAAGATTACATCCAAGATCTAATTATCACGGTCACATCAAGAAGATTAAACTTTGATATAGCTCAGCTTTGGATTATTTGTTCATTTAGGGTGCTGATGTGTCAATTCCGAATGGTTAGTTGGTTGATTGTTTCACTACCTGCAATTTGGAACATCATTTTACAAGCTACTGTGATCTGTGTTTTGCAGTGCACTACGACCACAATAAGTTAGGATTAGTTAGTATCCTTCTGGATTTTGGTTGAAGTGAAGACCTACTTCGAATATCTTCTGCTCATCTGGAATGAAATATAGATTTATACGCAACGATTTCCAGTCTCTCTGCTCGTTTTTTTCAGTTTAGTTGTTACGAACTCTGAAAAGACCACATAGTTTTTTCCACAACTATAACATTGCTTTGGTTCAATATATCCTTGACTAGTATTAGAGTAGCTTTCTTTATAGTTTTTCAATTGAAAAAAAAAACAAAAAAAACAAAAAAACGAAACAAAACACTATAGTGCATGTATATGCTTCCTCCTCACACTATGTATGTATGAAAGTTTCATTTCTTTGCACATGGGAGCATGGAATTCAATTTAAACATCATTGAAATAGTGCTATCAGTATTATAAAGAAAGAAAGAAAAGAAAGAAATGATTGAAATACTATTCAAACACATTGTGTATTGTTTTTAGCAGTACAATTCTTCTACTAAAAATACTATATTATACCTTCTTTTTTTGTTGTTGCTGTCAGAGATTGTTAGCGAAATGCTAACAGCCAAACTCGTCCTTGGTTTTATTACTTTGTGGTCAAAAATTTATGATAAAACAAAGATTAATACTTTTTGTTTTTATTTTTACTTATCTGGTTTGGTTTGTTTTGTGTGGAAGGAGTAACATGTGAAGTGTGAGCATTCTTCACCTTTATCGCATGACTTTGGTGGCTTAAATCTTGTTGTTGAAACCACTCCTACTAAATAAAACCACCATTCAAAAGGTCACAATGAATTCCACAAATTGTATGTAATAAAACTTGTCAAAAAAGTGCAAATTGTAACAATAAATCCAAACCTTCATATTTCCAAATTATCATCACCAAAGACAACACATTAAAAGCAATTGTAATAGTCACTCTACTATTCAATAGACATACAAAACAATGCCAAGTAATTTACAATAGAGTACTGAGTGGCTCACTTTGCTAGCAAAGTTAGGTAATTACACAAGCTATGTTTTCCTTCTCAAAATATTATATCAATAAATAAATAAATAAATAAATAGGGAATTGTTAAATTAATCCAAACATTTTCTAAATCTACCTACCCATCCTGACCATCATAAAAAAATTCTCCATTGTTGGATCCACATTTGTCAAAAAATTGGTTGGATCCTCAACCAATGATGATGGGAGGGTCGATTTAGTAAATGCCTGGATCAATTTAACAATTTCGTATTTCATATATATATAATTCAAGTTCTGGCCCCCCAAGCCACGAAGAAAACGTGGGCAAAAGGCCCTTCGTGAGCGAAGGGGACTTCACTTTTACGTTTTCGTTTACCTTTTCTTTCAAATCTACGTTTCCCTGTACTTGTACTTTAAGTTTTTACCTTTACGGTTACGTTTACCTTTCCCGTCGGGTCCCGGAACTCGTTCGTTCGTTCGTTCGTTCGGCACGGCAATTGATGCGCCTTTGGTGTGGCCTGAGTCGGCGGCATTGAATGGTGGGCTTTAGCGTCAGTTCCTGGTCCGCGGAGCTTGCTTGCTCGCTCGCTCCCTCGCTTGCTAGGGAGAGGGAGAGCAAGGCTGGACACTACCACTCTGCGTGCGCAAGTGGAAGCGAGATTTCAGGCTCTCATTCTGTTGCTGTTGCGCACGTGCGACATTTCGAATTACTCGAAGAATCGGTGTGTGTGTGTGTTCATGTCCACACTAGATTTCCTGCAACATGTTTGAATGTTCCGATTGTTTGTTGTGTTTTGTGGAATATTGCGGAAGCGTGGAGCAGGAGAATCTTTTCCCCTAAGGGAACGTGTAGTTGTGAGTGTGGTGGCCATGGATGGCTGATTGAATTGCGGTGTCGAGCTCAGGGTTTTGGCAAATCTGTTCAGGAGATTTGTAGTGCGTGTTTGAATGTTGGCTAGTCGGGAATGAGAGGCGATATGGCAGGGGGGCAGATGGCGCACCTTGTGTTCACTGGTGCCTCGTTCAAACCGCGCACTGCGCGATTCCTTTTCAACTTGACTTCATTAAGGTTAGCTGGCAATTTTTACATTACTTCCACTGAAAACTTTTACATTACTTCCACTGACAACTTTTTTTAATTGTTCATTTTTGTACATGTTGAAGTGTTCGTTTGTTGTGACTGTTTGCACACGCACGCCAGGTTTTGGTTTGGGCATCAGTAACACCGCCAATCGCTAAATTGAAGTTTCTTCAATTTTCGTGCATAGGCCTGTACTGCCCTTTCTGAGCTCTTTCGCCTCAAAACAAGCGATCATTCTGAATTGATCCGACGCAATCGATGGCTGGCCTGTTTATGGATGTTATTGAGCTGTTGGTCATTCTCGCAGGAATTTGTATAGCATTACACATGTTCAAATTGAAAATGAGTAACATATTTGCTATTTAATATTCAAATTGACACATTCGGGTACGGTTTATTTTGCACAAGAAATATTCCCTTACCGATTTTTTGGGAAGTGTACAGAGGTGGTCGTTGCATTTACTAGATTATTGTTCTTGACTTTTTGGTAGGTCTCTATCACATTGGCGATCGAGTGCATTTGCTGGGAGGCGCAAATACTGCTCGATGACTATAGCTGCAACGTCTACAGAAAGCAGGGGTTAGTGCTGTTCTAGGTTGCATAGTGACTTTAGAATTAGGATTCTGAATCCAGTGAAATAAAACTCTTAACCTGAACAAATTGTTTTTTTTACATTAGCGAGGTTTCCATATTTGCTGTCTATTGTCAAGCACAGGGGATGTTCTCAATCTTGTTCAGTTATCGCTCCACCATTTTACAGGAACGAGATATTTTCGCATGTTGTTTGTAGGGGATCATTATGAGCAGGAGACGATGGACGTCAGCCACGAGTGTTCTAATAACTATCAATTAGGGTGGCGAAAGCTACAACGAGCCTCTGTAAAATCCTTACTGTCGCAAGTCCATGACGACACCAGGGATCAGATCAACCTGGATCGTAGTACAAGATTACATACTGCGGCTGATAACACCTCTTTTGTATTACCCGTAACAATACACAATAATTTATCAAGTGACGGAGACGGTGGCAAATTGTTCCAACTGTGCTGCAAGGTATTCCCTTTAACCTCGAATATTCTAGAAATTAGGAATACTTCACAGGTGTACAAGGTTATGGTTGTGTGGCAGAAGTTGAAGTTCCCAACCTAAAGCAAATCCAAGGCCGAGACGGGCCTGGTCTTTAATTAGCTTGTTATGGCTGGATTCTATTTAATATTAGGAAATTCGATTTGCTTTAGGTTGGGAACTGGGCTTGACTCGGGACCAGCTTTACTCAAATACGTATAGATCTCCTTGGCACGTCATCCATTTCTCCAATGGACTTGTAGGTGTTTGATGTGCAAATATGGTCTAACTTGCAGGGTGCAGCTGTAGTCGGGAGTTTTCTTTTGGTAGCTCTTTTGCTAAGGAAGGTGGGTTACATGCGTCCTCAACCTTGGGGCATTGACTCGACTGCCCTATTAGATGCTATCAAGGTGTCCCCCTCTTTAGTTGGACAAGCTTTATCACACACGTTTGACGGAGCTGGTGATACTTTACTGGTAAGGCCTCAACAGATGCGGCTGAAAGTTACACCGCCAAGTTTCTCAATAATGAATTGGAACCTGACTCGACTATCGTATATGCTTGATGTTCTTCTTGAACGTCACCCTATCACGTAAGGACTTGCATCATGAGTTTTCATAAATCTATATTGTAAATTCTGTTTGTCGCACTTACCTCGTTACTGCACAACCACGGTTGCCTATTTTTGCTCAAGGTTTTATTGGACGTTTCCTTCGGTTCATGTGCTCAGGTGGTCTAATTAAAGTGATTATGTTTTGAAGATAGCATCAGCGAACTAAATGTGTGTTAAATAGTTCTTTCAACAATTTTCAATTATATTGCAATATTCAAGTGCACCTTGTTTACGGTGAACTCATGTAAGATATTTATTTTCTGTCTGAATTCATGTCACACAATTCCAATAAGATCTTGTCAAGAATGTGCTTTGACTTTGTGGATGTTACCTTCATTTTGCAGATATGTATTGCTGTTAATCATGGCATGCCTCACTTTGATCATAATTGGAGGAGTGCTATTCCAAAAATACCGGTAGATTGCCATCGTCCCTGTAATGTGCTGAATGATGTGTTTGTGTTTACAAGGGACCCGTCAAGGAAAAGTGCTGATTCCTGGTATGATAAATGCTGTATTCTCTTCCAGGGGAAAGCAAAGTCTGGGAGACGCTCTCTGGGACGCATGGGCATGCCTCTGCTCTTCTGGAACGCACTTGAGGGTTTGTTGCCTGCTGCCCAATTACTCGTCCTGCTCTCTATTGATATTTCTTTCTGATATGAGCCATCTGAAGCATTGTCTGTTCATGTCTATTTCCAAGTGGGCAGTGTTTGCTAATTGAATTCTGTCAGTGTGTTGCTACTCTTTTGTTACAGTTGAGTTGCTTTAAAAATGTGTGACCGTAAATTGTGCTAGAATAAAGAAGCCACGGAACTGCATGTTTTGCAGGAGAAGACGCAAGAGGGACGTACGATTGGGATCTTTCTAGCTTTTGGAGGTCTTCTGTTTTACTCATTACTGACAAGTACATTGACGGCGCAGATTAAGGTGTGACCTCGTATCACCTGAATCAATTTGGGAAAGTGTGTACTGTTCCACATATATGCGGCCAGGATTGATCAGAGATACTTCCATCCTTATGCGGACTCTGCAATTAACATAAATTCTTAAAGAGGAATTGCTGTTAGATTTTTTTTTTCAATATAATTGAAATCAACATTTACATGTTTTCATTTATAATTCTTTTGTTGGAAAGGTCGTTTGTCTGTTGCACAAAGTTAGCAGCACAGGGTATGTTTGATAGACGAAAGTTTCGAACTGCAGTTACGAATGGAGTATCTCCGCGAAGGAGCTCATTCCCAAGTGATGGAGAGTGGGCATATCATTATATGTGGAGCCAACAACCATATCACAACTGTTCTGAAACAACTTAACAGGGCCCATGAATTTGCCATACGTGATGGTACTGCTGCTTCACGGTATTTTTTGACTTGAGAGCGGATTTCTTTCAAGTTTATAAAACATATGGCAGATTCATGATTTACATTGAAGATATATGGTGTTTACTGTGTGTCATTTTTGCCAGAGTGGACTGGCATGATTAAGTGATCCATTCAATGTTATGCACTGAACCTTGCTTTTCTCCATTACAGGAAGCAAACAGTTTTACTACTTTCTGAACGAGCAAGAAGGGAGACTGAGAGGCTTGTATCGCCTGTTACCAAGGAATGCACTCAAATTAACATTTTGACCCGATGGTGAGGAGATTGGTTCCTTAATAGCCGTGAGCTAATATTCGTAATCTACAATTTATGAGTTGGCTCTGTCGTGATACTGGTTGGTCAGGACAATTCATCTTGTCAGTGACGTTGGTGGGCATAACTGTAGATTTTCATTCGTCTATGTTAGTCATGTGTTTTTTGCGTCTACATGAAGCCTTTTGTAGTCTGCATACAAAATTCACGTACACTTGTTTCTTATGATGTCAAACGAACTAACTGCACTAGGTGAACGCAGTGGTAGCCTCAGCAGCACGAGGTCTTTTTCGAAAGTTGCTGCTGACAAAGCTCGCTCCATTGTTCTTCTGGCAAATAAGGATGATCCGTAAGCTTCTATTCCTGTAGCTTTGTAATGAGATAGTTTTTGATATGCATCAGATAACAAGTGAATTGCAGGTTTCTACTTGCTGGCAATCTTTCGAGGCCTATATGTCTGTCAAGTCATCTCAAGCATCAATTGAAGCCACACAATGAAATAAATTAATATTATGGAGTAAAATTTCTTAGTCTGTATCTTGAATTTCGTGCAGATATGAAGCTGATGCAGACAATGTTCTAGCGGTTTTAGCCTTGCAATCACTACTTGACGAACGTGCCCCTGGAAACGTCATTGTTGAGGTAGAGCTCTTTAGCTACATTTGTAATCTGGCTGTGGATTAATAGAGAAGGTTGTATAACCTCGTCGTACAGTATTGAAGTTGTTGCAAGTGTGCTCAATAGAGTAATAACTTCTGTGACGTGGATGTAGGTATCAAGGAAGAGCACTGCAGGCTTGCTGAAAACTTTGTCAGGGTTGAAAGTAAGCCCAGTGCAGAACTTAGCATCCAAGCTCTTCGTCCAATGTACTCGTCAATGTGGCTTAGTAGATGTGTATCAACAGCTTCTTGATCACGGCAGTATGTTCCATGAGCCCAACGCTTCCAATTTCTCAACTTATTTTGTGTGCTTAGCAACTAGAACTTTCAAAGTTATCAGAAACTGCATATATATTGTGTGAGAAATTGATGTGCAGAGACTGTCATTAATCTTCGAGGTTACCCAAGTCTTGCTGGAATGTCATATGGAGATGTCCGACGTGGATTTCCGGAGGTATTACCCCTTATGGATTATCTGTGAGGCATTTATCTTTTCTCTAGCCGTATTTATGATGGTGTAACCTTCAGTGTGACAATTTTAGGTTGTCATAGTAGCTGCTGAATTCATTGTGATTATGGAAGCTTTACGGGCATGCACAATGCAGGCTGTGGTGTGTGGACTCATTCCGAATGGAGGAGGCCCAGATTTTCATCCTAACGACACGCGCCTCTTGGAGTCAACTGATAAGGTAATACTCACATTTCAAAACTCAGCGGCCATTGTGCAGAAACTGGTCCATTTCACTTCACCGCAACATTTTTCATGACAAGGATGATATATACACGATCTATAAATCTGAGATATGGATAATTTGGGGCAAGGATAGTAAGGGAAATTCCTTGTATTTTTGAAATTATACGTTGTGGGACACCTATGAAACACCCATGATTTTCCTCCATGATGAGACCTACAATCTGTGTATTGGCACAAATAAGAAAATCAAAACTGATTCCATTTCATATTTGTGACAGTTGCTAGTCATAGCACCGAAACATACTCAGCGCTTAGCCCCCCCAGCACTCTTAGCCAAAGCAGAGGAAAGGCTGAGAATCACAAGTTCTAGTGAAGCGTCCACTTCTGATCCAATCCCTGTTTCAACAGATTCAGTTGAATCCAACAGTCTGGCTAAATTTTTAAATCGAAAAAAGAAGCCAGTCTCCAAGGTATGTCTCATATCCGACTTGGATTCGCTAAGTGGTAGATTGTGGAGCTCTGCCCATCTTCTCGCTTTACTTTCGCTTCAAAGATTTATTTACTATCTGATGTTTTCTGATGGGTGTTTTAGACAGCTGATTGGAGTGCTACAAGGAAAGAACGAATCATCATATTAGGGTGGCGTCCTGGTGTCAGCGAGATGGTGTGGGAATACGATGATTATGTCGGCCCTGGTAGTGAACTGGTAATTGACTGTTCTGATTCCTACGTTTTCTTTGTATGAACTTTTGGAAAAACTAATAGATCCTAGTGGCGTTACGTATTTGACCGATTATGACTTAATGCCTCCAGGATATGAAAAATATATCAGAACACTAACAAACATCCTGAGATGAACTCATACCTTGTGGGTACGGGTCTAGAAGAATATTTCTTATTGAAATGCTTGTATCGCGGTATTGGCTTTTGATGTTCTGTTCATGAACATCCATGTTGAGTTACCATCACCATATCGAATGTGACTGTTGAAGGTAGAATGCAATAGGTTGAAAGAATTACGTTGTGAGATGGTGTGTCCTTGTTGTCCTCGGTTGTTAAGAATTTGTTACAGGTGGGCTGACCTTTTAGTAGAGATTTCTGATAAATTTATTACAATCTTAGATCATACTAGCAGAGGCTCCTGTGGAAGAAAGAAAGGCCTGCCTGGCTAGAAGAAATGAAAGATTGCTACGCAATATTCATGTAGTTCACAAGGTAAGTTTTTCAGTTCTTTAGCCAACACCTCTTACTTATGATTAATAACTATTTTTCGTCGTCATTTTCTTGACACAATGTCCCGCCACCATGTGTACAAACCGCTGGACCTGATTACGCTTGAAATGCAGATCGGCAATCCTATGAGTCGAACAGATCTGCAAGACGCGATTCTGGATAGTAATCCATTGAATCTGCACAAGGAAGTGAAGTCAGCAGCTGAAGAGTCCGAGAAGATTCCATTTTCGATTATAGTTGTAGGAGATCGAGGGTGGCATGCAGGAGGTATTTCCTCTGCATTCTGTTTGAAGTCTTGCAACAGTGTATGCTGTCATTGTGGTTTTCATGAACGACAGTACAAGCAATCAACAATTAAAAATTCATGAGTTGGACAGGTTGTAGTGGAAATGAAACTGTCGTGCATTATGAAAAAGAACGAAATCCGATCAAGAGCGAACGAACGAACTTCAGGCAGATTATCTAGTCATGCAATTAACTCTCCCACATCTGTGTTTTCAGACTCATCCAGACCGGATAAGCAATGTGTGTTTGCGTTGCTGTTAGCGGAATCAATCTGCAAGGAGTTCAAGGTTAAGGTGAGCTGATTTAAAGAGAACCTTCAAAGTTTTCCATCCCACATTTGGGTATTCATGATTCACACTAGCCTTTTGGAGACGCATAATTAGGGTGATCAAACTGGGAGGGAATAGTTCTTATCGAAACGAATGAAAGTTATTCCTTTGTTAGGTGAAGTGAATTTCATTCCGTCGAGTTCTGAAGTCCGCCTGTCTTGTGTGACAGCATATCTGATGGTTTCGTAGCGTCATTTTAGGTATCTCACTGATATAATCGGCCCAACATTCGTGTTGCAACAATGCTGCACTGTTGTGTTGTAGGTTACAAGTTTAGTGGCTGAATTTGTGGACACCAAGCTGGGGAAGCAGGTCATTTTCCAGACTCTTTGGCTTTAAATTCAGAATGGCGATGTTGTAATGTACAATACGAAAATATTTCGAAAAGTGGATCTGCACTGAAAGGTTCACGTGGCCTTTAGTGCTGGCTTTATGCAAACCATCCATGTTTCTTTTCACAGGAGTTTAGTCTCTGGCCTTTAAATGCTTCTGAAAGTTTCCTGAAAAGGTCTGGGAAAACTCTCAATTGGACTCTCAAATGTCTAGATTTATACCATTTTTTCTTGGGTTCTACAGATAACTAGTTAGGCTATAAATTTTTGGCGTGAAAGTGCACGTTCTGATACTCGTTATGATACTTGCAGGTGGTTAAAAGTCACCCTTCTCTCACGTACATAGGAACCAGTGACCTGACGGGGCTTGTAACTTCTCAAGGTGAAAGCACAATTACACTCAACTGTGGGCATACTATCTGATTAGCGACGGAACAAATTTCCATGCGTTAGCATACTTGATGTCACCTGTGATTGAATAGTTTTACTTAACTCTCGATTCTTTAATTTATTCAATAAACTCTATGAAATTGCTTTCGGCAACTAATAAATGTTATATGCTTGGCTGGTTCAGTGGTCGAGCATAGGGAGTTGAACGCCGTCTGGACAGAATTGCTAAATTCCTGGGGGAACGAAATATACATGAAGGTATATCTGTAGAATGACAGCATGCGAATTGCATGTTTCATCAAATATTTATATACCGCAAAAGCAAATGAATCTCCGTATCGACAAAGCATGCAAAGTCCGCTCTCTTAATTTTTAGCAATACCTGGTCATAATGTGGGCACGTCACCTAATGCTTATGGATTTTTGTACTATCAGGGAATACAACTATACATAAAAGAGGGCGAATCACCATCTTTTTCTGAGCTTCAAGAACGGGCTGCATCGCGGTCTGAAGTTGCTATAGGTTACCGACATAATAACAAAGTGGTACGTGCATCGTTTTTTTCCATTTACTTTCCAGTCTGTTCTTCTTCACAGTATCCTGTATGTCTGGTGGGAATATATCATCCACGAATTTTTCAAAGCGATTGATTAGCATGTCAATGTGCGCGCAGGTTCTGAATCCAGACTCTAAGGAGAAACCTTTAGAATTTAATGAAGGAGATTCTCTCGTTGTAATTTCAGAAAATGAGTAATTATTGGGTAACTCGTTGCTTCTCATTTTTTAGCTGCGTCATATGAACTATTAGTCCTCGTTGATGTCCTTTCGATCATAATGCGATAGGAACTTGTCAAATCATACGTGGAAACGCATGATTTTTATTGCATGTGCAGTTTGCATGGCAATTGACACCCACAGCATGAAGACAGGTCCATGGAGACCACCGATGCAAAGCAGCATCGAACACATACATACATTCATAATTTAACGATTTTTATTATTACTGTGTATTGAATTTGAAATGTCAGAGTTGTAATATACCTTTGTTACTTTGCAGTAGTCAAATCAATCAACTATTATGTGTTGAGTTTTGGTTCAGATGTAATAGGTTAAGAACTGTCAAATTTGGTTTCCTCATTTTCTCTAAAATACAAATAGCAATTGAACAAACTTAGCCAAGAATGTATTACAATGTTGCTAATCTGAAATTTTTTTAGAATTTGTGTCAGACTAATGTACTTCAAAGTGAACTGTAACTGAGTTCTTCGAATCAAATGTGAACCAAAAACTGAAAGTAATCTTATTCATGATTTCTGTCCTGAAAGAAAGCATGTCAAGAAACAATGTAAATTTTTTTTCCTACAAAACGTTAAATGTTTTTGTTATCAACAGTAGATGTAAGAATAAAACAGCACATAGCAACAAATGAATCATGGTTTAAATCAGATGAAATTAAACATGCAAAAGACGTAACATCAAATTATGCTTGGCATCATCCAATAGTAAAAGACCTTTACTAAGCATATTAATCTGTCATTAATCTGTTGCAACTAAAGTCTTCCAAATTTGGATTGACACCCATCTCAACTAAACTCATTCAAGGATGAGCACCCACATTATTTATCTATTCATTCATTCGTTCATCCCTACACTCATCGAGCCGCCAAGTTTCTCATCCATCCATCCATCCATTTATTCATTCATGGGTATTTGTAATCTCGAAAGCAGAACAAACCTTCCGAGACCCCCTTTTAAATACATCCACTAAACTATTCCATACCCTAAAATGTGGGCCCTAATGAAAACTTGAGCACAGAATTCAGGGGGGAGATATTTATTTCATAGGAAAATGGTCCTGGTGGAATGCATTTCATCCCCCTGCCCGCTTTCTATCTGCCCGAACTGATCCCAAGCATTCTCCAGCCCCATATCCCAATCTCGGGCACACCCTGCCCTGCCCTAAACAAAATAGGGTTCTTTTTCCAAGTGACCCACAAGCCTGCCCGCCAAAGGGTGTGTTCTTGGATAACGCCCATGCTGAGCTACGGGCCTTCATTGGCTTCCCTTGGCAACGGGCTGCCCGGAAATCCTCGCTCCTTCACTCGACTGGTCCTTTTAGCTGCCATTTTAAGCCTGTTGCCACGCGGTGGCGCCTCAACCCCTTCCGACCCTCGTGCCACTTGTTCCACTTTCACACCGTTTCCATCCACGTGGATGGCCCTTGTGCTTGGGAAACCTACTACGTTGGTCCGATCTATACCCTGCATGCGTGGGCGGGTATGTGGAAGAACCCGATTCGCCAGGTTCGTGGATGAAATCTCTGTTGTAGTCATCCATTCATTCATTCATTCTAGCCCCAATCCCATTACCTCATCACCCTTCTATTCAGATGCACATAATAATACTACATTCAGTCTCTCACCCTGTGATGGAACAAATGCTTCGTCAATACAGTTTTTTTTTTCCCACCACAACTTGCAATTTATTTTTTTGCAAAAAAATTTCCACCCAAATTTGTAATTTTAATGAAATTACTATTATATCTTATATAATTTGAAAAAAGTTGAAAACATTTACATTTTTTTATTGGAATAAAGCAATTACTATATACATACGTATATATATATTTATATATATATCAAAAACTGCAGAAACATGGGATGGATGGCATCAACAACACCCATATATTTTTTGTTTTATTTTTATTTTTTATCCAATTAGTTTTCATGTTCACAATTATACCTAATTAAAAGAGTGCTACTTTAATTACTGTATAAATTCCAAGTCTAATACTTGTCTAAAATGTTCATTTCCAAAACTATCTTGTTATAAGACCATGCTTCAAATTAACAAAATCCATATACCAAGGAAAAAAGAAAAAATAAAGACAGACCTCTTTTGAGATGCAAATGAAGGACATTAACAAACCCACCAATACACATGTCTTTAAAAAATTATTCCTAGCCTTTTAACTGAAATACGAAGAGGGGGGGGGACTACAACAGGCGCTTAGAAAAATATCCCACAAAAACAAAGTTCGGCCAAGAATGGGCCGGCGGAGAAGCAAGCAGTGTGAACAGGGAAAGAGGCAGAGATGACAGGCTGAGCCGGTGGACCGGTCACGGGACACCGGGCTCTATCCATCCCTGGTGGGAGGGAGGGGAGAGAGATCGGCAACGACGGGATTGCAGAGAGTGAAGTGCAGCAATCAACGCCGAGGAAGTGTGTTTCGCTCCATCGCAATTCTATCTGGACCAGGGGAAGCTAATTCCATCACCCCCCTTGAGGTTCTATCGCTTTCACTCTCGCATTAGCCTCCCCTCCCTTGTCTCTCTCTCTCTCTCTCTCTCCCGTTTTCCTCCTATTTGTGTTTCCCTTCTCGCTGCGGATTTTGGTGTTGGTTTTTTAATTTTTTTTGTTAATTTGTGGAGCTTACGAAGCGTAGGTGCAGCGGATTCAATGGCGTCGACCTCTGCGTGTGTGGTGTCATCTGTTGGGATCGGGAGCGTTGCTGGTGCTGCCCGAGCGCAAGCAGAACATTGCGCGCTGGGCCAGAGCGTGCTTCTGTCTTCGCGTCGCGCTTCTGTGATGTCTGGCGTCTCTCTTCCTTCCCTCGCCAGCTCTAGTTACCGAACAGGTCAGTTATGGCTCTTCTGAGTCTTGAGAGTGGAATGTGGTCACATGCGCAATGTCGTTTGGATGCGTGTGTCAATAGCCATGGTCGGTTTAACATCATGTTGTGATGAGGTTGATTGCAATCTATGAGTGGGAGTGTCGAAACCTCGCTGTATTTCGAAGCTCGTTCAGTGAAGTGGCTGACGATTTATCTGTGGCGAGTCTCGTGGTTGCTCTGCCTCTTGACATGTAACGTGTCTTTGTCTATCCACTATCTGGAATTGTGAGACCTCAACGTTTATGAATCGGTCTGTGCATCTGTTATCTCCTTTGAGTCAGACTTTACCAGGAGCTCTTGTTGAGGAATGCTTCAGAATATTATGAGGCTACCTTCTGCATTCTGGAGAGATCACTGTGCTTGCCAAAGATGTGAGCCAGGCTGCATTTTTCTCACGCAGATGTTCCTCTGCTTCTGTAGATGTGATGTAGGAACCGTTGTTATCTTAGGCTCTCAGCTAGAGAGTCTCTTGTGGTTGAGAAATTTGGATTTTTCGATTGTTACTTAATGTTGACAAAATAGTTTATTATTACTCGACAAAGAGAAACTGTTCTTTTGACACTGATTTTTTCGAACCTGAGACGTCGCTTGCTATGTGGGATGTGTAGGTTTAGTTTTGATGAGAATCGTGATATAAGTTGGTGTGTATATAGTATTCATGACCTGTCTCTGATACATTCTTTCATAACTTAAATATTGGCTACTAGCAGATGCGAAAAGGTCTTTGACGATTGTCGCTGCTAAAGCTACCAAGGAGGCTGAGGCCGCCGTGGACGAGACGAGCGCCGCCGCTGAGGATTTTCTCCAGAGCTTGACGGAAGCGGTACTGTGCCATGTTTGATCAATGTATTTTCCACTGTGGTTTAAGCTAGCAGTAATTTTCGAACTTTCTCAGAAGGAGGAAGTAGATCACTTTCCTGTGGTTATGAACGAGTTAGTCGTAACATGTGCGGATCACGTTGGCAATTTCTGAAATTGTGGCTTAAAATTCTCAGTGGGAGAAGTCGGATGATAAGCCCGCCATTGTTGGACTAGGATTTGCCGGACTCATTGGGCTGTGGGCTACTAACGGCCTTATCAATGTGAGTGCCTAAACCCACATCGTGCTTTTTTGCTTTATTGACTGAATAACTCAGCGTGCTAAAATGGTTGAATACAATGGCTAAGCTTTCCCGAACTGTGTTACCGTGCCTCACAATCACGTAGTTGTTAATCTGATGGATCGACCCAAGTCCCGTGCCCTCTTATGAAGCATGCGCTAACACCTCACCAGTTCCCTGTACTGACAAGATGATCAATCAGCAATATGTTCATGGCAGCAGCATTGTTGGGCAGAGTAGTGGTAACAAGAGAACTCTGATTCCATTTTGATGATTTGTATGTGACAGGCCATTGACAAACTTCCCATTATCCCAGATCTGTTCGAGATCATCGGCATCCTGTTCTCTGGGGTACTAGTCTAAGACCTTGACCTTCGAGCTTTTTGACTTAATGTTCTCGGTGTTATCGATAAATGCTCAATATTCCCATAGGTAATCACGTAGTGTGATGAGATAAGCTCACTTGAGCTGATGTATTATCATGTGAAATGGTGTTTCGTGTGCAGTGGTTCATTTACCGGTACTTGCTCTTCAAGCCCGACAGGTTAGTACGTTTATTTTAGGGTTTGCAAAATATTGCCTTGTATACATTGTAGAGAATATTAATATGTTCAAATGTAACTGGTGTGAAGTTCGCTTTAAGGCGTTGAACATTCTCGGCCAGGGACTGAGCTTGAGATGATGTAAATATATCTTTCGCTTCAAATGATTTTTTTATACCTTGCTTTGCTTTTCGAGGACACACTGTTACATACGTATTGATGTAATTTTTAAAATTCCCGGATGCTGCAGGGAGGAGCTTTTGAAGCTTATTGATGAACAGAAGGCAAAGATCACTGGACAGTGAGGTTAAATTGTACTGTACTATTCAATTTGAGAATTAAAATAAAGGATTGTAACTGTTGAGCTACGTGTGTTTTGAAGCCGAGACTGAATTCTACCGCTGTGTTGGTCTGGCTTTGGTTCTTCCTTTTCTGTTAAGTAAATAATTTAAGGACATTGCGAGGCTAGAGGCACGTCTTGGCCGCTCGTGAAACTCTTCACATATTTGAATTATATCTTTCCATCCACAGTTGTGTTAGTATCAATGAGGATGCTAAATCATTGTGGATCTTACCCACCACATGCTTCTAGTCTTCTGCATAGATAGAATGTGAAGACTGCAACCTATTACTTCAGTTGGAATGAAGGCTAAGCGAAAAAATATAGCTGAACTGGAAGTTGTATTTTTGTATTAAAGTTAACGCAGGAACTTCTACACAGGTTGTGTGTGCTAGTGACGCATACTTGATAGTTGATGAGTTCCTTCTGGCCAGACTGAAATTTTTACACAGGAATCGTGAAGTTTTCGAATGTATGTGTTGACTAAAATTCTGAGTGAGATTGCCTTACTAAGGATGTGAAGTTCCTGTGTGCTTTACCGTTGACAGAATAGAGTTGCTAACTCATTGTTGTAATTTTTCAAACTACCGAATGTAATTAACAGTGTAATTGCATCAACAATCTATGACCACATGAAATCTTGTGATTGTTGGTTTCCCATCACCAACGGACATGCAAGACTTGGAAATATGTGTGGAATTGGTAGTTTGAAATTTGTAAAAGATATGATGTCACTTCCAACTGAACAGTTATGTAGTCAATGAATTGTATACTGTAAAGGGAATTGGATCTGATTTTTGTGTGACTCAGTGTGAAATACGAAATCTTATCTGGTCACATACATTTGTTAAGATAAAACGGTGGAATAGTTGCAGGAAACTTATTTGAATGGATGAAGAATTGAAAATTATGATTTATTTGTGAAAAAAGGAACATCAAAATATTGTTTGACATAGAGTTGCCTAATTGTAACAAAGTGATATAATCTCTTGTATAAAAAAGGGGGGCAAAATACACGGAATAAACAAGAGACTAAAACCCTCCCCGATTGGTTGCATATCATTGTTTTCATCAAAAGTTTCATCAAAAGTGAATGAAAACTAGAGTTGTTAGGTCCGTAACAGAACCCGTACTAAATGAGACAACTCAGAGTGATTTTTGAGAGTGATTTCTGATTTCTAAGAGTTACATAGAGAGAACTCAAAGTGGCTAGCTTGACTAATTTTCCCCCTCTCCGCAGATTGATTTAGTTGTAGGATTGGTTTAAATTTTGTTGCATTGGGCGTTGTTCTGAGTTTTGTTGTGTAGGGTTGGACGTGCTCGACCTTCGAAGGTGCTTGGCGGTATTGATGGATGTGCAATTTTTGCTTATATGGAGAGGATTGCTGTTCAGACACACTGAATCATGATGTGGGTAATGTTATTTTCATTTTTATTTTGGAGGATATGTATGTGTGTGGTGAAATGAAGGAATGAATAATATGGTTGTAGTAATGGTGGAGTGAAACAAATTGATCGATGGGCTCATGGAAGCAAGCAAGGAAGTTTTGGCACTACATCTCCACATTGGGGACATCTAATCGCTGCCATAGCTGTGGCATTTACCAGATTTGAAGCGTGTCTGTGCTAATTGCCGAAGCAAGAAAATGCGTTGTGCGGGTGGTGCCGATTTGGGTTTTAAAGCTTTTGTTTGATAAATTGCCTTCGTTGCAAAGTATTTGCGGTTGTGGATAGTTGTTGTTGTCAGGTGACGTGCTGTGCGGTTTTGACCAGGGCACGCTTGAATATTTACGATCCTGCAAACTGCATGAATGTGGTTGTGGAGCTTGTGTTTTTTGGATGTTGAGTAGAGGCGATTGTTTGCGCATGAGATTGAAGGTGGGGAAGATTACGCATCCTCAACGGTTCTAAGAATCTGTGAGGGAGGTGGGGGGAAGAATATTGGAAGAATGTGATATCTGTATTTAGTGTTCGAGGAGTAGCTAGAAACGTTATGACAAATTGGTTCAATGATATGGCAAGGTCTAAAGGTTCTAAGAAAACTCTCGACTCCTACATTGTGAAGGACACATTCAAAGTTGTAGGAGGTGAGTAGGGGGTTGGAATGTGGAGCTTAATTGCATGCAAATATACCTCGTTGTTATCGTGTTGCGGTTGAGAGATAGCGTCGAAACTATTATCTTCCTTTGTTTTGTGCTCAGGTGCAAGACTCTGAAGCTCCGTCATTATTCTTGGCTGGTTGTTGAGAACTGCTGTAGCTATGCAATGAATGTCAAGGTCTTTCTGAAAGACTACAAAATGCTGGAATTTTTCATTGAGAGCAAGAAGTCAACAGGCATTGTGTCGCACATTAAATGTTTCGATAATATTCTTTGTGCTCCAAGGGCGTAGATTCTCCTAATGTTAAAACTCATGAGACAATTGGAGAGTACCAAGAAGCGATGGATGCTTCCTGGAGCACTAATCTTTTCTCTTTAGAAATAGTGTTGACATAGTTTTTATATGTCCACATGGTGCATTTTGTCTATTGTAGTCTATTGTAGTCTAAGTCAGATGATTTTTCACATATTTTCCGTGGCCAATGGCACGGGTTTCTACTAGCAGCCTTATAAAATGCATTACATGTTAATTATTATGAATAAACCGCAGTCTCAGCATAAACATCACAAATCAAGAACTTAACTATAATTATAAAAAAAAACAAAAAAACAAGGAATATTTTTAGAGAGGTTAGTGTGGATAGAAACTTCAATCAATTGAGTGACTCAACAGATGATGAACTATGAAACATAGCAAATTCAACTTAATAAAACAACAAGGTCTAATTTATTTTTGATTTTAGAAATCAGATTAGTGGTAGATTGAACTTTGATTTTTTTTAAGACAAAACATTTCCAAAAAGAAATGATTTAAGAAATACTTTTAACATTTTCTTTTTGAAGTACTATAATACTTAATATCTTCAGATTTAGTTACGTCTAAGTTAGAATTTTAAAAAAAAATCCAATTACTGAGAGCATTTTGAGTTTAGAAAAATATCAAAATAAATACAAAATTAAATGGAGGTTCTTATTGAATCAAAATAGGCTATGTATATATATATATATATATATATATATCCAGTAATGTATATTTATATGTAAGAAAGTAATTACAGTTTTTATTCAAGTATTTTATAAAAAAACTTCCTCAGATACGTGCTGATTTCTTTGAAAATCTGTGTATAATATCTTCAGTTTACTAAAATAAATTTTCATTTCATATACGGAAATGTTACAACTCTTTCATAGTAGTTTAATGTGAACTAATCTTTCTATATATGTGGATGCATAAATATTTGAAAATTAATCAAAAAATTAATACATTTTCTAATGCTGTTGATGACCTATTATACACATCCAAGTCCATCCAATGTTTTTATCAATGCTTGTGATTTCTTCTTTCAATAACTTTTGATTGCTTTAAATATATCCAATTTATTGCTTTGGATTCTTCACTTCTTTTAATCACAATATTTTTTTTTCCTTGTAAAATAACAACACCTTTCCAAGAAAAGAAATTCATTCTTTTAACACTTTTTTTCAAGAAGTTACTTTTGTTTGGAAACAGGCTCTGTTGTAAATTTTAAATACTACACTATTGGTTTTGGCATAGGCAAATACTTTACTTGGTCACAATTAACTGTTAATAAACATATTATTCATCAAAGATCAATTATTTGAAATCTTTCAAGTGTTTTTCAAAGTTCCCCATAATCATGTTTGTTTATTATATTTATTGAAACCATAAATAATCCACTGTAGCTTTTAGTAGTTTATAAATTGTTAACTAAATGCTAAATAGACTTTTCAATCTTTAGGAACAAGATACTATCCAAGTTAGCATCATGTCCACCAACTTGCTAGTCCAATGAAGTATTTCCAAAAAGAATTCCCTTAATTTATTGAAAAAAATAAAAATCAAAATCAAATAGTTAATTTGTGGCAAAGTTGGAAAAAAAGAAAAAGAAAAAGAAAAAAGTATCATTGCTACTTATTTATTTCTCTAGAAGTTATAATTCCAATATCAATTTTTGTAGAATTAGCAATTTTAATTTGTTATTGGATTTTTATTTTTATATTTATAATATATTTTTTGCATTTGTATTATCAAATTGTATTCCATCTGAAATTACCTCATATAATGTTTATGATTGTGTGTGTATATATATATATATATATATATATATGTATTAGTAGAAATCCTTGCTATTGGACACAAAAAAACTACAAAATTTTTATTTCTGGTTTCTAAGTTAAAAATCAACCACTCTTAAAGAAACATTATTTTAAAAAATAAATAAAGAAGAGTATACATAACAAAAAAACCATTTTTGTTTCTTTAATATTATTGATAAATATAATTTTTATTTACTACAACGACCTTAAATAGCTAAGTTAAAAGAAATTGGGATAAACTACATTTATCATAGTGTTTTTATCTTCATTATCTTTAAGATATTGGATCTTGAAAATATTTAGAAAATTGCATTGTGAAAGGTCAATATACAACAATCCATGTCCAAATATGAAGGTTCTAAAATCTATTCCTACATTCTTCAATAATTGTCCTTAAGATTTGTTAATGGCTATTGAAAATGCCACCTTTATTAGAAAGTGCCTTTGCTACAATTTGAATGGAATCTCTATAAATGATGGGCATAATTTAATTCTTAAAAAAAGATATTTTTTTCTTGCAATTTTAAAATAATAGTCTTGCTTCTATAAATAAATCAGTTAGTTGTGTAATAATCAAGTGTAATCTATTCCAAAGTCTTTAATTGAGAGGAATATTATGTAACAATAAAATCAAACATCTAACTTTTAACTCCAAGTTATACAATAGAAATCTAAGTAGACTTAAGCAATTTAAATACTTGGTTGGATATCAATTGACATTATTGATGTCATCTTCTATAACTACTATGTCTTTGTCAAGATAAACACAAAAAACACAAAAAAATCTTCCCATAGCATGTCTCTTTAGATCTCCAACATTATAATTTTGTGCAGATTGAATTGACCTTTCTATAAAGTATTCATTTCTAAATGTCCTATTTCATCCAATCTCAAATAAACAACTTGAATCAAGTCATTTGATATTGGACCTATTTTTTTATGTTTTGGAAGAATTACTATAATTCTCAATAGATCTACTATTGTCAATATATATTCAATCTACAAATGGCAATTTTTCTTAGATATATTAATCATAAATATTATATCATGAAAAAACTCTTGAAAATAATATACACAAAAATGCATATCTTTAAGAGCTCTCTAACAAATAATCATTTCTTATCAAAATCACCTTCCAAATGCATATTTTTTTTATCAACTTATATTCTTTAATATGAGACCAAATCTTTGATTGCTATAGAAAAGCATCATCAATCTCTTCTCTTTAGCTTTTAACAAAAATATAAAGAATTTGCCAAAAATCTCCACTAAAGACTATAATAATTCTACAAATTAACTTATTAGTGCTATTTATGTCTTCAAGAGTTCTATCAACTATCTCAACACAATAGCAATGTTGCATTGATACTTCATTTCAAGTGATAAGAACCCTCTTTTTTAACATATTTACATATAATATATTTTTTATAATATTTCAAAATAAACCTTTATTAAGATGGAATAGAATTTTAAACATACAATAAATAGCCCGACTACCACTAAAAAGTTGTGTTGCAATTTTGTAAGAAGAAATACATATAAAAATATTTCCGTTACTTTAGAACTCCATTGTTATTGTATTGTAAACAAATATTTTTCCACTTCATGCTGATCCTTCTAAAAAATATAGCTTTCTCAAATTGTTATCTTCTAAAACAAGAACATCTAAATATAAAGTGTATTGTTTATCATTCAACTTTGATACAGAGTCTTCTACTATTTGTTTTTATCTTGGCATGATACCGTATCATTCAACTTTGATACAGATTCTTCTACTATTTGTTTTTATCTTGTCATGATACCATGCCATATGCTTAATAAACATTCAATTTATAACATTCTCATTCTATATATATATATATATATATATTCTATAGCATCAATGAAAAATTAACAAGTATTTTGCTTGATTCTTGATGAATTTTGCTTGATATCTTAATCTATTTGAAAGAGTGGACCTATTATTTAATCCATTAAATGAAAAAGCATAGGCTACTTGATATGTACTAGTTATTTGATCTTGAAAGTTATTTTACTCATTCTCTAATGATCTTGAAAACATAAATGTAGCATATTTTTAAAGCCACATAACAATGGAATAGGTCTCTAAACTTAGAAAGTACTAATATATTGGCCATTAACTAAAACAACATAAAACTTCACATATCTTCATTAGCCACAAAATGTACAAACTTTGTAAATAGAACACATCATATATTATAGTTGAGAAGGTGCAAAGATGACTATTAAAAATAAATATATTTTCTAAATAACCTGTTGCTGATTTTTGTGACTCAATTGTATTAAAGATATATTAAATTATAAATTAAAAAAAAATTGATTTGCTTGTATAGTAATATGCATACCATGCAATTATTGCAAATTCAATCACATCTTAATTTTAAAGTTTCAAATATAAATAAAGATTCATTTTTTTAGATGAAAAATGTGTACACATTTCCAATTACACAAAAGTCTCAGATCATACTATTGCCAAAGTTACCAATGATGCAAAACGTAGTAAACATAATATTGAGATCAAATCATCAAATTCTTTAAAAAATTCATAAAGCAAAGATTCACCACTTTGAAGGAATGAAATTCACTTCAGAAACTTAATGTATTTAATATTTCCCAAGAAAAAAAAAAAAAAAAAAACACCTTGAATGTTGTGCTCCATTGTTTGGGACAACATATTACTTCCTTCAATAGTATAAATCTCTTTCTTATGTCTTTTTCATGTCACACTCCAACACAAGTCAATAAAAAGCTTTTAATCTTGAAAACAACATCCTTAAAATAAAATTAAAAAATCACAATTCAAAACAAAAGACACAAATACAAATAAAATTGGTTGAGTTTTGATCAATTGATGTAGATAAAATCAAACATGTATTGTGTTACTACAAAAAATAAAATCAATTCTTGATATGATTGTGTAGTAACATGTATACCATGCAAAAATTGCAAATTCAACCAAAATTATTTCAAATTTTTAAAATTATAAATATAGAGTTATTTTTGAGATCTACAACAAAAAAAAACTTAAATAACAAACAAATTGATGTTAGACAATGGATGGTTATTCCACTAAATGCATCAATGCTCTTTGCAAGTACACAATCAATGATTGATAGTTGCTAAGAAAAGAAGCAGCTATTGGAAATCCTCACCGTCCCACTCCATGTTCTTTGCATTCTTTCATTTCTTTAAGTTCCTTTCTTCATGGCCAATTGAAGGACTTCTTTGTCTCTTTGTGCTATACCGAATTTTTTTTTTTGAATATATATATATACAAATATATCAAAGAATTTTTTGTAGGGCAATATTAGTGAATTTTTCATGTTTTAAGCTTAGAAAAATGAAATTTTAGAGGAGAGTAAATTTTGGATTTATTGGTTCAATGTCTAAAACAAAATGTCTTCTTCTTTTTTATTTGTGTCTTTTTTCAAGAAATGGAGTATGCTTTGGCATGTGTGAAGAAGTTATTAGTATTGGTTTTGTAAAAGCTTTTGTACTAAAACAACCAAACTTGCCTTGATACAAAAAAACTTTTCTATTCCCCAGTTGCTCGAGAAAAATAAATAATAATAACATCTCCTTTTATGCCTACATTTGTTATTAGATGTGCCAATATATCCATCATTCATAGACCTTTCTTTTCTTTTCATTTTTCTCTTACTTCTTCCTCTTGTTGGAATTAATTTTATTATCCTTTTTAAAAACAAAATATTTTTTATCTAAATTTATTCTAATATTTTACAGTTTGAAAGTTCACTAAAACACCATGAAGTTGTGAATTATAAAATAATATAAATGGTTCCTCATGATATGTTTTTCAAGTCCAAGTTGTCAGTAAGTGTTTTACTTGTTTGCTTGTGTTACTGTATTTTACACAGAACTGTACAGCACAAGTTATTTGAGGACATGAAACCTAATTAATTCAAAACCTAATTAATTTGTTAAAAAAAACTAGTTTATTTGTTTTTTTGTTTGTTTGTTTTTTTTTTTTTTTCTCTCTCTCTCTCTCTCTCCTTCTCTCTCTATATATATATATATATATATATACACACACACACACACACACACATATATATATATATATATATATATTGTTTTGTTTCGTAAGCTTTTCAGTACAAAGGTCGATCATCCATTTTTTCATTCTCAATGTTAATACCACTCTTTCCACATAATTGTCTCCCCATAAGTCTCACCCACATTCAGCTCCATTTTAAGCAAGAGCAAATAATCAATCCAATTTGGTGACTTGCTGACAAACACACGACGGAAGAATCGGTCGTTCACATTTCCAACGGAGCACGGGGCCGGGCCAACGAACATCCACGACGGCGGACGTCAGTAGCACGGATTGCGGACGAAACGGCGACCGAGAGAACGCAACTAGTCAGGACTGGACGCACGTCCAGGGGACGACAAGAAGCAACGCTGGCCGTCGGTTGTTGCGCTGAGGTGAGGTATGTGGGGCAACGAGAACCCTCCGAAACGTGAGCTTCCTCCGCTTATTCCTTCCCTTTGCCCTGGCCCCTTGGTCTGTATATTCGGCCTCCCGGGCGCCCCCTCCTCTTGCTTGCTAATGCTTTCTCGGCTCTCTTCTCTTGGTTTCCCCTTCTTCTTCTCCCTTCTTCATTATCGTCTCGCCAAGTGCGGAGCCTTCGTTAGGGCATTAGGATTCTAATCAGGCGCCATGGCTGCGAGGATCTGTTCGCGGAAGGCTGTGAAGGAGGTGACTCAGAAATTTAGCTTGTACAGGGTGGTCGGCCATCGCGGCTACGCTGCGGCTGCGGGAGCAGATGCTGCTGAGAATGATGTCATTGTTGTCGGAGGAGGACCCGGCGGGTACGTTGCGGCCATCAAAGCTGCGCAGCTTGGATTTAAGACGACTTGTATCGAGGGCCGAGGCTCCCTAGGAGGCACCTGCCTGAACGTCGGATGTATTCCCTCCAAGGTATGTTTTATCGCTCATGGAGCGATTGAATCGGCGGTGGGAAAGAGTGCGTTAACTCCTTCTATTGTTGCAGAGTTTACGAAATCCTTAGGCGTGAATAGGAAATCGTCTGATTCTCCCTGTTTCTGTGCTGATGTGACCTAGTTTGGTTTCTTTAGCATCTTCATTTGATTTGCTCGCGGATGTGTGCCGGGAATGGCGATGTGACTTTTTTACAGTTCCCACGTGCTCTACTTGCATTCTGCTTGGTTTGTATGAGTGGATTGGTGAATGCAAGGTGTTTTGTTTGAATCATTGGAGGACGGAGGCTGTTAGTTGTTTCAGTGCTGTGTGAGGCGCTAGGTGTGCTTGAGGAGATAAATTGTCTATTTCTAATTACCGAACTTGTTGAGGCTACGACAGTTCTAGCACAATGTTCTAAAACAACAGTGTTTGTGGCTATGAATGAATTGGATTTGTTTCCGTTCAGGCTCTTCTTCAGTCGTCTCACATGTATCACGAAGCCCAGCATAGCTTTGCAGCACATGGAGTGAAGGTGGGATCCGTATCCATCGACCTTCCTGCTATGATGCAGCAGAAAGACAAAGCGGTTACAGGGTTGACGAAAGGTATTGAAGGTTTATTTAAGAAGAACAAGGTGACCTATGTGAAAGGTTATGGGAAAATTACTAGCCCCAACGAAGTCACTGTTGACTTGTTGGATGGAGGTTCACAAACAGTGAAAGGAAAGAACATTATTATAGCCACTGGTTCTGCTGTCAAGTCGCTTCCAGGTATCACGATTGATGAGGAGAAGGTCGTGTCCTCCACAGGAGCCCTGAAATTGAAGGAAGTTCCTGAGAAACTTGTGGTGATTGGAGGAGGTTACATTGGATTGGAAATGGGTTCAGTTTGGGGCCGGCTAGGTTCTCAGGTTACTGTTGTAGAATTCGGTGATGCCATCGTACCTTCGATGGATGCAGAGGTCAGGAAATCGTTCCAGCGGTCACTGGAGAAGCAGAAGATGAAATTCAAGCTCAAAACGAAAGTAGTGAAAGTGGAGGATACAGGAAATGGTTTGACACTTCACCTGGAAGCTGCCGAGGGGGGCTCACCTAGTACCTTGGATGCCAACGTAGTTTTGGTTGCAGCTGGAAGAACGCCTTTCACCCAGGGTCTTGGACTAGAAGAGTTGGGTGTCAAGGTTGACAAGTTCGGACGAGTGGAAGTTGACCACAGTTTTGCGACCAATGTTCCTGGAGTTTACGCTATTGGTGATGTTATTCCAGGGCCAATGCTTGCGCACAAAGCTGAAGAAGATGGCGTTGCTTGTGTGGAACTTTTAGCTGGAAAAGCTGGTCATGTTAATTATGACACTGTACCCGGAGTCGTGTATACTCACCCGGAGGTAGCCAGTGTCGGGAAAACAGAAGAGCAGGTGAAAGCTGCCAATATCAAATACAATGTTGGAAAATTTCCCTTCATGGCTAACAGCCGAGCTCGCAGTATCGATGACGCGGAAGGTATGGTGAAGATTATTGCAGAAAAGGAAACGGATAAGATTCTAGGTGTGCATATTATGGGTCCCAGTGCTGGTGAACTGATTCATGAGGCTGTTTTGGCCATGGAATATGGAGCCAGCAGTGAAGACATTGCCCGTGTCTGCCATGGTCATCCAACTTTAAGTGAGGCTGTGAAGGAGGCTGCTATGGCCACCTATGACAAGCCTATCCACTTCTGAGGTATTTTTGGTAGTGTGCGCTTAGAACTTCCTTGAGTATGTCATCCCTGATATTGATGAATAAACTACCCTTGTACAAATAACATTCAAGGTTTTATTGAAGTCACATTCTCGTTTTTGAACGTCTTGTTAATGCTGAAGTAACATTTTTCTCATGAAAATAATGGTCAGGGAGCGTCTTAGACTAGCTTTCATTTTAGATTGGGAATCAATGTCGTCGTCAATCAAGGAACGTAGATATTTTTCTGTAATTTTTCCAATGTGATGGAATTGTGCGCTGTGGATCATGTTCCGGAAACAGCGTGTAGACCACTTAGTGATGAAAAGGACACCCCGACTCAACTAGTAAGACTACCCAATGATGAAAACCCTTCTAAACGACGTGGCGTTAGATTACTGCAACACACTTTTAGAGGGAAACGAGTGGTATGATCAAATTCTGTGATTAAAATACTTGCATAAACTACTCAGAATATACGCAGTATACATGAATTGTCTACATCCACCTTGTGCCAACCGCGTCAGGAGGATAGATTTTATCCTCTCGGAAATGGACCATATACAGTGGTTTCTAGTTGAACCAGAATACTGAATTGTGATTCTGCCCTCAAATCACCCGGAAGGATTTCGGAAAAGAGCAAAAGCAACTTGAAGGTGCGGACTGACTTCAACGGAACAAGTGGTACCGCACAGAATGGATTGCGCTTTTGTGATTGTGTACATGTCATTGAGTGATGTCATTTCTGTGGTCCATGGACAAGTGAAGCGAATGCTGATCTCCAATCGAAAGTGTGTGGCTTTGGGCGGACTGTTGATTGAAGTGGTCAATGACTTTTCCGTAAATGGATATGCAATTATTAACACTGAGTATGTTTGCATGTTACAAATTTCTTTCTCTCCTTACAGTGTTAATGCACACATTAAGACGTGTTACAAATCATCTTTTGTAAAGATGAATTGGTGATGTCATCCAATCAGAAGCAAGTTGTGATCCCTGTTTCATATTCAAATGATTGAACTTGCCACTTAAATCACTCATATGCCAAGGTGAAATCTACATCATGTTCAAATGGCTTTGATTTGTCAGTTACAACCACATGTTAAAATTGTTTAACTGTTTAAAATGACAAGTCTCGAGTATACAAAGTGTGAGGTTCTTTTGTAATCTATTAAAAATGTTAAAACAATGTAATTCCTTTTGCATGTGTATCAGATCGAAACCACAATTTGAATAAGCCAAAAATTGTATAATAGTCAAGAATAGTTGCTCAAACTGTCCTTACTTTTTCACATGCAAAAAACTAATTAGAAAACAAATAATTTGTGTTTGTTTTCATATATAAATAAAATATTAAGAGTTAAAAGATTGTGATGTTTATTATCATGAATAATCTATTAACGAGTTTTGAATTTTGAAGCTACTGGAATATATTAATTGTGTAAAAAATGATGAACATTTTAAAACTGTTCTTTTTCATAATATTGAAATGCTTCATGAAGGTTTGTAAACTCAAAAAAAATGACCACTGTTGGTTGATTACCAAAAAATAAGTAGTAAATTTATTCAATGAAATTTTTTCATGCTCATGATTTTGTTATATAATGATAAGATTGATGTTCATAATATATTCTTTTGAACATTAATGCTTAAAGCCTTAATTAACTCCACAAATACAAAAAAATGACAACAACTACAAATGTTAATTTATCCGTAAATAACAATGGTAATCACCAATTCTGATAAAATATTACAAACCTACATTACATCATTTACTCAACATCAAAAAAAAAAAAAAAAAAAAAAAAAATTCTAGTCATGGTCAAACGACATCCAATGTATTATAAACTAAAACATCTTTCACAATAATTTTACAAATAATTATCAAAATATCTATAAATATATAGTCTAATCGACAACCTATTCCCTTTAAACACAAGAAGTAAATCGAATCAAATAATTGTACAGAAGCACACTTGTGGTCATAGTCTTGAAAAGAATTCTTGAACCAAAAAACAGCAGGAGAAAATGCCAGTGGAAAACGTGATGTGTCTCTCCACATAAAAAGATTCAATCACACCCTAAACTTTAAACACACTATTACTCCATGCTTTCATCCATCCATGCTCACCACTATTGCACGGAGATATCTGTTCGTTACGGAGGAGGATTTGCACGTTCGCGTCAGTTATTCGTCTGACGAAGTTAGAACGATCGTCGGACGAACGAAAAATGAGAACGAGAGAGAGACGAACAAACATTCTTTCTCCGTTCATGGTGTGGGGTCGGAAGCGTCCAAAGTTCCGCACGTCGCGTTGAGTGTGTTTTGTTTGATGGGGATCCGTTGAGCACTCTCTGATCCATCAATCGCTCCCGATCGCATCAATACGTTGTCCATGTACTGCACGAATTTCGTCCTCATTTGTCTTTTTCTTTCTTAATTTGTAAGGGGAGGTTGACATTGTGAAGCTGCATTGTTCGAGGAGGATCTGGTCTGGTTCCGTTTCGCAGCAGAGTTTTTTGTTTCTTGACGGTTTGTCCGAGGACTCAGTGTTTCCAATCTATGTTGCATGGACTGTTGCATTGTGTCATCTCGTCGGGGTTGAGTTTGTCGTGAAATGAAGAGTTTGTGTCTGAGATCCTGGAGTTGAAGCGTTTTCGAGTTCTTGACTACGGTTCTCCGCTCCAATTTCCATGGATGTCTACTTGTCATGCAGGTGGTTAATTGCGGTCGGCACTTTGCTTGAAATGCTGGTATCTCTTGCGAAATGCTTGGGGCTTATGGTTTACTGAGGGACATGCATCTGAAAGTCAGGAATTGATGTTATTTGTTTTTGGTATATGTGGCATGTAAAGTTAGGATTCTTGAAGTAGTGTGGGCTGGGCTGTGGTGTTACACCTCGGGTCTTCTCATGAGGCCGTTTGACTTGTTGTCATTGTTTTTAATTTGTATTGGTGCTGGATTTCAGAGCTGAAGTGTAAGCTCCAAGTCCGACAAGAAGATTAGGGTTTCTTAAAGGTCAGGAGAAGTGGGATGGCTCTAGAAGACGACGATAGATGTGACGGTGATTTGAGAGACTCGCCGCCTCCACTCTCTAGGTCGAGTTGCAGAACTCCTGATAACGACGACCTCCCACCAGATGGTAGTTTTGTTCGAGAAGATGGTGATCGTCACAGGGAGGTACGATCTGTTTATCGCTGCACCATTCCTACAGCATTGATGTCGCTCCTCAATGTATCAAAATTCTATGTGCGAGCAGGATTTTCACAGAGAATGCAACCTCGAAAAGCTTGCGATGCTGGAGTCTTTCCAACTCGTAGTGTCCTTGCTTTCCTTAAATCGCTAAGCATTTTGGCATTGTGGTCGTTTATTTTGCGGATTGCGTCATGCGATGATGGCCCCTCATTAACTGTGACTGCATTAATGATATGCTTCTGATCACCTTCTTGTCGAGAGGATTAGTTCTTTTACTACAGAAGCATCATGGTCTTTAAACAGGGCCAATTAAGCCGCCGCATTCTTTGAAAGTAGGTCGTAACGTGCAGAAAAAAAGATAACTTTACAGTTTCAAAAGGCATTTTTTTGCTGACATTTGGCAGTGCTGATCTAATTAACAAGTCAGCTGTCACCACAACCTCATTTGTTCATAACGCTCTAATATTTTGGACCATATTCATCTGCAACGTATCGTGTCGTGCTACTTTAGAATTGATGCCACACCTATACAGCCCTCATCACTTGCTGTGAATCGTTCTTTACATTTTCATTCGTGTCAACCTCTTTCAACTTCATGTAAAATATTTATGTAAAATCAGCTTGTTCCGACTTCAGGGAATCTTAGTCATTATTTCTGAACGTTTTATTACAGCGCATTTTTGTAGGTTGCACATGTTAATGATCAATATGTCCTTATTTCAGCTTTGAGAAGTCAGCTATATAACTGGCTGTTTTCTAAGCTGGTTACGTGTTGTGACGTTGTGAATTGTTATTCTGATCGTAAAGTCATGTACGTTAGTTGTAGAAGCGTCTTAGAATATCACCCATACCTATTAACCTATTCTAGTGACAAGAACTTCTATCGATCCTTCACTGAGAGGCGTACGACCGGTAGTTGCCAAGAATCTTCAAGAGTTAATGATTATGTTATTTTTGAGAACGACCCTTTTTCATCTATGTATCCTTCGAAGCTGAAGTTGGAATCTTTTGGTGATACAACAGTCCAGGGAAGATGATATCAGTAAAGATAGAATTCGTGGAGATGATGGTCACAGAGAAAGGCGAAAAAGAGATGAGCGTGAGAGAGGTGAACGCTCTCAGAGGGTCGAACAAGGCGACAGAGGTGGTCGTGGTGAACGGTGGGGCCGTCGTCACCGTGAAGACGGTGAAAAGAGTGATCGTGGTGATCGAGAAAGGTGACGGTTCTCTGGTTACCACCTCTCCATACGAATGCAGGTGTATATGTATGCCAAATTGTCTCCCATTAGCTTGGTGTTAACAAGCACTAACGAGGCTGTCAATATCGGCGTAGTTGTATGGTGGCATCACAGAGCATTGATAGAGGCTAGATTGGTTTGGTGATTTTTAGTCAAGCTTCACCACTTATTCTATTTCGCTGAGAACTTTAGATGAACCCGTTTCGATTTTTTGTCACTTACACTATGCTCTCTCTGCAGGCGTCACGGTCATGACTGGAGAGATCGAGAGCGAAGGCACAGGCGTCGGTCTCGATCCATTTCTCCCGAACGATCACATGATCGACGATCCAGATCTCGCTCCAAGGAAAGGAAAAGGTTTGTCAGCTAGACTCTCCGCATTAGAGGCCCACGTTGCAAATTACGTGAACTACATAATTTTGTATCCGTCAACTTTGCTTCCTTGCCAAAGTTTTTCTGGGTATTGATTTCCGCTCTTGTGTGCGGCACTCTGAGCAATTTTTTCTCCGCAGAAGTGATAAATAATTTTCGTCTTTGATAACATGACACAACACGAGGCTAACTGTTGAGATACAACTCTTTGTAGATTTTGAGACACAAGTTTGCCTTCACTATCAGCAATTCCTCCATCAGGCTGACTCTTGCTTAGATGTGGTACTGATGAAAGCGGGTTGAATTTGGTTTTTTGGAACAGCAAGCGGATGAGTGGTTTCGATATGGCCCCTCCTGGTGTCACTGTTTTACCTGCTTCAGCACTCTCAGGTATGTGAAGTTCATGCACTGACCCAGGACTTCGAACTTTATTATCTTCAGGTTTCTTTTATTATTTTACTAGACCACATGCTACCTCCTAGCAAATATTACACAATCACTTTTGCCTCCCAGCTGAATTTTTTATCCAAGATGAACATGAAATGTACAATCATTCAGCCTTGTTGGTGTAAGATGCTGATGTCGGTGTGCTCGGTTGGTTTGGGGACTGTTATTTTCTTTTGTTTGTTTTGATATTTTTCCTGGTTTTTACTTCACTTAATGCCACTACTTGAACGACATCAGTAAGTTTGGCTTTAAGGTAGGCGGGATTGACTACAATACATGGAACCGTCAAGTAAGAAGACACGTCTAAGTTTGCTGACTGTTGCAACTGTCAGGCATTAGTAATTTAAGTTAGAATTCATAAATGGTTTCTTCGTTGTCTTTATGATCTCTTCAAACTTTGGACGGTCTTCTTGACTGTCCCCCGAATAAGCGGTTCACTTAGCGTAGTTACAGTGTGAAGGGTTTTATAAATAGTCAATTCTTCAAATTGGAAACTGAGGGGTTCTATTTGCTGGTTTGTGTGTTTTCCGTTGGATGTCCTTGTTTGTGTTTGTGTTTGCTTTGTGATTGCGGGGTGGCATTACTACGAGCCTCAATAGTCATCTGTGCCTCTCAACGAACCTGGCTACGAAGGCCTGTTTGTTCAACATGGGAGAGGGGAAGCCCTTTAGTGCTGCATCCTTGGCTATCTTTGTGCAAGCTCTGTTCATTCTTTTGACCAGCACGACTCTTTCTTCCTACTCATGCTGAAGAAGATTGATTGAGTTATTCTGGTAAAAGGAACCATGAGCATACACTAGCAGAAATTGGTTCTGCACAAGGGGTATGGCATTCATAGGGCTCGAGAACCTGGAAGCGTACTTTCTTCTTAGAGCTTCCAGTGGAGCCTATTAGCAAGAAAAATATGGCACACTGGCTGACCATGCGTGAGAATAGGTTCAATGCTCAACTCAATGACAGGGGGATTGTCAGCATCAGCCGCGGGTGCTGGAAGTATATTATCCCCTTTAGGTTTGTCTTCTACTCCCCTGACAGTATCGCTCTCTTAAAGAGTACTACAGATTTCTTTGTTTCCCAGCTTGCAGCCCTAAGGCTGTCCGAGTTTTGCGAGAGCTGTAGGTACAGAAAGATAAAGCGACAGCAATTGCGTTTTCCCCCAGTTTGGAATTCGAGTATTTGAGGGCAAAGCCTAGATTTCTTAGAATATGTTGTAGAAACGAAGGTGTTAGACAGTTTTACAGAATGAGAGAGTTTATGTTGCTAGGTTTATCACGACCTTGTTTCCTACTTTGAAAAACATGACTTGAATCTTCTTTTAGCCTGTGTAATGTTAGTTACATAACTGACTTATTGAAATCAACAGGTCAGATCGCAGGCATGGGGTTCCCATCTATATTTCCATTCGCTGGAGGAACACAAGTGGGTCCTTTTCCACTTCACTTTCATGCAATTGGCTTGTCATTTACACGGTTTATTAATTGTGACTCTTAATAATCAATCAACAGAGCCTCAAGCAACCTACGCTCATTCACTTGACATAGTTAATGTGATATGTCTTTCAAGATTGGTTACTTTCGACGATTTCATATAACCTTTTGAGTTTTAAAGTACTTCATTTGTGGGTTATATGTAGTTCTCGTCAGCTAGTATAAGATCCAGAGTAATTTGTGAGAGAGGAACAGTGATTCATACCATAAACCTCTCTTTTGTATAGTCGCAACCTTTGATAAAATGCTCATTTGAACAAATGTCGTGTAGGCCACAAGACATGCTCGGAGGGTTTATGTGGGTGGATTGCCTCCAATGGCAAACGAACAGGTCATTTTGTCTGCCCTCTAGTTCTCAGTCTATGTGTGTTTTTTTTTTTCGGAGTTCACTTTATCTTATTAAAATATTGTCATTATTGTCACTGTTCTTCTGACAGTTTTATTGCATATGGATTTTCTACATGTAGAGTGAATGCCAGTGGCTAAAGCTTGATTGCTGGCATTGTTAATCAGAGCGTCGCGACATTTTTCAGTCAGGTTATGGCAGCTGTTGGTGGGAATACGGCTGGACCAGGTATACGAGGAAGCTAACTAGTTCATGATAGCATTAGCTAATTTGCATTATTGATATGCTATTTTATAAATTCGTAACACATGACTGCACTGTATAGTGAAGTCTTGATTACTGGAGGAAGAAATCTATAATTACGCTGTATAAAACATTTTCGTCTTACTCATTCACCACTTTCCGCAGGTGATGCTGTTGTGAATGTGTACATCAATCAGGAAAAACGATTTGCTTTTGTAGAGATGCGAACTGTTGAAGAAGCTAGTAATGCCATGGCTTTAGATGGCATCGTTTATGAGGTGATGATGCACCCTGTTTTTTCTAATTGAGTGCATTCTGGTTAATATTTTTCAGGAGCTTTTATTATGGGCTGACTTGAAATGTAATCATATAAAATTAAATGGTTATGTACCAGCAAGTCAACCCGTATTTAGGAAATAACCCTGTCACGAAAAGATTGCTTGACTATTTTGCATTCTGAATATATGGGGACATTTCAGCTCGTGGTTGCAAATATTGTAAATGCAGCAGGGATCTGATGTTCTGAAATGCTTCCCGTTCTATACCTCAGGGTGTTTCTGTTCGAGTCCGAAGACCTAGTGATTATAATCCTTCAATGGCAGCAACTCTGGGACCTAGTCAACCAAGTAGTCATCTCAATTTGACAGCTGTTGGTCTTACGCCTGGGTTTGTTTTCATCTTTGTCTGTGCTTGCGTTGCTTTTTTGTGGTTAGGCATATTCTTCATCCTAACTAGAAAAACATGTCTGGTAAAGGTGATTTTTTTCATCTATTCGTATACTGCTACTAAATTCTGTTATTTATGTAACTGCTTTTTCAGGTTGTTAAGCATTTGAAGATTCTTAGGGAATTATACTGGCCATTAAATGCTGTGAATATAGATCTAATATCTCTAGTCTTATTGCAGTGCATTAGGTGGTGCAGATGGCCCAGACCGGATTTTTGTGGGGGGTTTGCCGTACTATCTCAGTGAAGAACAGATTATGGATCTTCTCTCTTCGTTTGGGTGAGAGTTTCTTTTTTCTTTATCTTTCTTCTCTCTTTAGTCAGCACTAGGATTTGTTAGGTGAATGGTCACATTTTTAACAGTAAGTACGTAGAATATGATGTAGAACATGCAGGATTTGATGTGGTATTCTTTGTTCGTCGCAGCCATCTACGAGCTTTTGATCTGGTGAAGGATCGTGATACTGGAAACTCAAAGGGCTATGGATTTTGCGTTTATCAGGTTTTGTCCCTCTTATTCCTAGCATTAGTCTTACTCTTCGCATTATGGCATAATTTTCTTGGCTATTAATTTACCATAACTAGCACGTTCAGTGGTTTTAACCTGGATATTAGTTTGTCAGGCTTTCTACTATGTCTTGTAGTATCACTGTTTTAGAATCCGCTGCATTTTTCCAACCCTGTATAAAGTGCACCTTTTCAGGATCCTTCGGTGATGGATATTGCCTGCGCAGCTCTCAATGGGTTAAAAATGGGAGATCGAACATTGACTGTGCGACGTGCTTCTGCGAGGTTAAGATTGTGTCAACAAGCCCTCGCTTCTTTATCTTTTCTTGTTCTTTGGTCACTTTCTTCTCTTGGCTCGATATTGATAAACGGTTCAATTTAACTCCTCTGGCTCTTGACACTGTGTCACGTATCACCATTCCGCTTAATTCTTGAGGTTCTGCGTGACCCCAATGTTTTCATCTTATACTTTAGGCTGGTTTCATTGGATATCCACCGGGAAAGAAATCTAATATCTAGTTTTTAAAAGCCGACTTTGAGATCTTATTCGTCATGGTTTCTTTTTGCTTGATTTGAAAATTTTAAAAGCCAACCAAAGTTGACATTATTATTACAATGTTCACAGTTCAAGACTTGTAGCTTTTCATTTGACTGCAAGTCTTACAGGGATTAAAACCTACTAATGGTAATCATATGTGTTAGGACTGTCACTAAATTGAGATGTATTTCTGGTTATATTTGAAAATGTGGTAGTTCTGAACATTTATCCTCGCACACATGATATCTTATCAATGTGTTAGGATTCGAGACCTGTAGAACTGCATAGATGTCGTGTGTTGTATATGTATCGATCCTTTGAGCTTTTCATACTTCTTGTTCAGTATTACAAACATCCTTAAGTGATGGTTTTGTGCTTACATTTCTATATAGCTTCATGGGTTTCAGTGGGCAGCCCAAGCCTGACCAGTCGAACATTATTGTGCAAGCTCAACAGCAGATTGCGTTACAGGTTGGTATTTATTGAGTTTTTACGAGTTCGTATTTATGAGTGCGTACTGATGGTTTGTGATCAGCCTTAACAAATGGAGACTTGCTCAGTGGTTCTGATTTTCCTTGTTTCTAGATATGTGGTTGATATCTGTTGATTTTCAGAAAATGGTACTCTCTGCAAGTGGGGCGAATGCCATCGGATTAGGATTGGGTATGAGTGTTGGAGGTATGTTTCCTGTGTTGGGCGGAAGTATGATGCCAAACTTGCGCTCTGGTGGGGCCCTCGCAGCTGCTCCTGAGACTGCAACAAAGGTTATTTGTCTTTCTCAGGTAATTATCGCCCGATATGGACCAGATTTCGACATTCATTTTTTTAATGTCAGCATTCTTAATTCTAGCAATTTCACCTGCAGGTTGTTTCCATCGTTGATTTGAAGGATGACGTTGAGTTCGACGAAATCGTCGAAGACATGAAAGAGGAATGTGGCAAATACGGTGAGAATATTTTGGCCGCTCCATATTCTACTATTTGTCTGTGTTGTGATTTGGTAGCGATTTCCACAATACTAGTGCAGGGTACCTTAGTGATTGCTGCATCCTATCATCTGATTTTGACTTTCATACAATTCTCCTGAACTGATACTCCGTTCTTCATATTTACATTTTGAATCTTTTTGGCCTTTGATTACAGGAAGCTTGCTAAATGTTGTTATACCTCGTCCTAGCTACGATGAGGAAGATGTTCCTGGCATTGGGATGGTAATGGTGCTTTACGGCATTTTATGGCAAGATGTGTTGGATGCTTCACGCTGTTTTCCTAGGCAAGATGATGAAACTGTCACGACGTTGTTATGCATTGCCCTATTACTCAAGATTTTATTTTTTCTACAGGTTTTCGTGGAATATTCCGACTTGGAAGGCGCTGCAAAAGCAAAGCAAGCATTGCATAATCGAAAATTTGGGGGCAAGTTAGTCATTGCATCTTATTACTCAGAGGACAAGTTCTTGAATGGGGACTACGGTGGGTGAATTTCAGAGCGTTTACATGTCATGTAGTCGAAATTTCAAAGAATAGCGCAACGTGTATACTGTCATTTGACTGTTGATAAGTTGATGAGGCGACTCATAGCTGGAATATTATGGTGCAAGCATATTTTCCCAAGTTGATAAATAGTGTGAGACCTGTATGACGAAGAGACTAAATCTGGGATAGTGCAGTGCAATAATATAGTGCAACTAGTTACTGAAGTGCAATTTATTGGTTCTAGCCATGAGATCGTAACCTTGTAGATCTGTTTTTGAGCATCTTGCTTGGGATTCAGTGATTAATTTGTCAACTCTTCCCAGGTTTCTCTGAATTAATCTTACGTACAAAAATTATAAAAAAACAGTTGAGGATAAACAAACATGAAAATGTCATAGGCAGGAATGTACAAAACCGTCATCCCGTTCAGTCCAGCTATTCTACCAACTCCATATTTGCTTGCCTACATCATTGTCTCATGCTCGTGCTTTTTCGGAGTACTGTGTAGTTGAAGTGTTAACATTTTGGGATTAATATTGGGAAATGGTACTCTTGTTTCACATAGCATTATGGTCTGTAGATGTGGTGGCTGTGATGAAAATATTCTCCGTGGGTAATTAAATCACGTAAATTAAGTATAAAATTAGCAATAATATTATATCTTTAAATTAATTAAATTATTTTTAGATTTATATAAAATTAAACAATTTTTTTTATAATATTAAACGAATAAAATGTTATTAAATTTCTTTAAACATATATTATTTCATTAATGCAATAGATTGTAACAGTTTTTCTTATAATTTTATATTTATTACTTTAATAGAATAACAACCTTTGAAAGAAAATTTCAAATTAAGAAATTTTAACTTGTTGATACATTAATCATGTAAAAATGTAAAATCTTAAATTATATGTAAATCAAAGTTAATAAAAATTTCACAATAGAAGATGTTATGTATTATGTGTATAAATATATAAATAATATATTGATAATATATAAAGTAAATATTTTAAAAATTTTAATAAAAAAAATAGGAACTTATTAAAGCGAAACTTCTCAAACCATGTGATGATTAATTTTAGAAGATATGGAATAAGGAATGGAAGACATGAGATGGGAGTTGGAAAGTGAGAACAAGAAATGAAAATTGAGAAGTAGAGAGAGAAGATGGAGGTTGAGAAGTAGAGAGAGAAGATGGAGGTTGGGAAGTGGAGACGAAAGCTGGAAATTGAGAAGTAGGAACAGAGGATGGAGGTTTAGAAGTATGGACGGAGGATGGGAGTTGAAGAGTAGAGATGGGAGATGGAGGAAAAGAGATAGGAGTTGGGAAGTGGAGACAGGAGATAGGAAATGAGAGAAAGGGATTAGAAAGTGGGGATGGGAGATGGGAGTTGGGAAGTAAGGACAAGGGATGGAGGATGGAGGTTGGGAAGTGGGGACAAGGGATGGAGGATGGAGGTTGGGAAGTGGGGACAAGAGATGGAGATTGGAAAGTGGAGATGGAAGATGGAGGATAGGAGATAGGGGTTGGAAAGTGGAAACGAGAGATGGAGGATAGGGATTAGGAAGCGGAGACAGAGGATGAGAGATAGGGATGGGACATGAAGGTAGGAAAGTGGAGATGGAGGATGGGACATAGAAGTTGGAAAGTGTAGATGGAAGATAAGAGATGGACATTGGAAAGTGGAGATGGAGGATGGGACATGGAGGTTGGAAAGTGGAGATGGAGTATGGGACATAGAGGTTGGAAAGTGTAGATGGAAGATGAGAGATGGACGTTGGAAAGTGCAGATGGAGGATGGGACATGGAGGTTGGAAAGTAGAGATGGAGGATAGGACATAGAAGTTGGAAAGTGTAGATGGAAGATGAGAGATGGACATTGGAAAGTAGAGATGGAGGATGGAACATAGAGGTTGGAAAGTGAAGATGGAGGATGGGACATAGAGCTTGGAAAGTCTAAATGGAAGATGAGAGATGGACGTTGAAAAGTGGAGATGGAAGATGGGATATGGAGGTTGGAAAGTGGAGATAGAGGATGGAACATAGAGGTTGGAAAGTGTAGATGGAAGATGAGAGATGGACATAAGAAAGAAGAGATGGAAGATGAGACATTGAGGTTGGAAAGTGGAGATGGAAGATAGGACATAGAGGTTGGAAAGTATCGATGGAAAATGAGAGATGGACATTGGAAAGTGGAGATGGAGGATGGAACATGGAGGTTAGAAAGTGGAAATGGAGGATGGGACATAGAGGTTGAAAAGTGTAGATGGAAGATGAGAGATGGACATAGGAAAGTAGAGATGGAGGATGGAACATGGAGGTTGGAAAGTGGAGATGGAGGATGAGACATAGAGGTCGGAAAGTGTAGATGGAAGATGAGAGATGGACATAGGAAAGTAGAGATGGAGGATGGGACATGGAGGTTGGAAAGTGGAGATGGAGGATGAGACATAGAGGTCGGAAAGTGTAGATGGAAGATGAGAGATGGACGTTGGAAAGTAGAGATGGAGGATGAGACATGGAGGTTGGAAAGTGGAGATGGAGAATTGGACATAGAGGTTGGAAAGTGTAGATAGAAGATGAAAGATGGATGTTGGAAAGTGGAGATGGAGGATGGAACATAGACGTTGGAAAGTGTAGATGGAAGATGGGATATAGAGGTTGGAAAGTGTAGATGGAAGATAAGAGATGGACGTTGGAAAGTAGAGATGGAGGATGGGACAAGGAGCTTGGAAAGTGGAGATGGAAGATAGGACATAAAGGTTGGAAAGTGTAGATAGAAGAAGAGAGATGGACGTTGGAAAGTAGAGATAGAGGATGGGACATGGAGGTTGGAAAGTGGATATGGAGGATAAGACATAGAGGTTGGAAAGTGTAGATGGAAGATAAGAGATGGACATTGGAAAGTGGAGATAGAGGATAGGACATGGAGGTTGGAAAGTGGAGATGGAGGATAGGACATAGAGGTTGGAAAGTGTAGATGGAAGATGAGAGATGGACATTAGAAAGTAGAAATGGAGGATGGAATATGGAAGTTGGAAATTGTAGATGGAAGATGAGAGATGGATGTTGGAAAGTGCAGATGGAGGATGACACATGGAGGTTGGAAAGTGGAGATGGAGGATGGGACATAGAGGTTGGAAAGTGGAGATGGAGGATGGGACATAGAGATTGGAAAGTGTAGATGGAAGATGAGAGATGGACATTGGAAAGTGGAGATGGAGGATGGGACATGGAGGTTGGAAAGTGGAGATGGAGGATGGGACATAGAGGTTGGAAAGTATAGATGGAAGATGAGAGATGGACATTGGAAAGTGGAGATGGAGGATGGGACATAGAAGTTGGAAAGTGCACATGAAGGATGGGATATAGAGGTTGGAAAGTGTAGATGGAAGATGATACATGGACGTTGGAAAGTGGAGATGGAGGATGGAACATGGAGGTTGGAAAGTGGAGATGGAGGATAGGACATAGAGGTTGGAAAGTGTAGATGGAAGATGAGAGATGGATATTGGAAAGTGGAGATGGAGGAAGAAACATGGAGGTTGGAAAGTGAAGATGGAGGATGAGACATAGAGGTTGGAAAGTGTATATGGAAGATGAGAGATGGACATTGGAAAGTGGAGATAGAGGATAGGACATGGAGGTTGGAAAGTGGAGATGGAAGATGAGAGATGGACGTTGGAAAGTACAGATGGAAGATGGGACATGGAGGTTGGAAAGTGGAGATGGAGGATAGGACATAGAGGATGAAAAGTGTAGATGGAAGATGAGAGATGGACATTCGAAAGTAGAGATGGAGGATAAGACATGGAGGTTGGAAAGTGGAGATGGAACATGGCACATAGATGTTGAAAAATATACATAGAAGATGAGAGATGGACGTTGGAAAGTAGAGATGGAGGATGGGACATGGAGATTGGAAAGTGGAGATAGACGATGGGACATAGAGGTTGGAAAGTGTAGATGGAAGATGAGAGATGGACATTGGAAAGTGGAGATGGAGGATGAGACATGGAGGTTCAAAAGTGGAGATGGAGGATGGGACAGAGAGGTTGGAAAGTGTAGATGGGAGATGAGAGATGGACGTAAGAAAGTGGAGATGGAAGATGAGACATGGAGGTTGGAAAGTGGAGATGGAAGATGGGACATAGAGGTTGGAAAGTGTAGATGGAAGATGAGACATAGAGGTTAGAAAGTGTAGATGGAAGATGAGAGATGGACATTGGAAAGTGGAGATGGAGGATGGGACATGGAAGTTGGAAAGTGTAGATGGAAGATGAGAGATGGACGTTGGAAAGTGGAGATGGAGGATGACACATGGAGGTTGGAAAGTGGAGATGGAGGATGGGACATGGAGGTTGGAAAGTGTAGATGGAAGATGAGAGATGGACGTTGGAAAGTGGAGATGGAGGATGACAAATGGAGGTTGGAAAGTGGAGATGGAGGATGGGACATAGAGGTTGGAAAGTGTAGATCGAAGATGAGAGATGGACATTGGAAAGTAGAGATGGAAGATGGTACATAGAGGTTGGAAATTATAGATGGAAGATGAGAGATGGACGTTGGAAAGTGGAGATGGAGGATGACACATGGAGGTTGGAAAGTGGAGATGGAGGATGGGGCATAGAGGTTGGAATGTGTAGATGGAAGATGAGAGATGGACATTGGAAAGTGGAGATGGAGGTTGGGACATAGAGGTTGGAAAGTGTAGATGGAAGATGAGAGATGGACGTTGGAAAGTGGAGATAGATGATGAGAGATGGAAGTTGGGAAGTGGAGATGGAAGATGGGAGTTGGAAAGTAGAGATATAGGATGGAAGATATTGGAAAGTGGAAATAGAAGATGAAGGATGGAAGTTGGGCAGTAACGATGAGAGATGTGAGATGGGAGTTGAAAAGTGGAAATGTGAGATATGGAGCAAGGGTTTTTGTATTTCAATCTATTTTTAATATATATATATATATATATATCTATATATTTTAAATTTATATAAGAAAATTTGATATTTTTTAATAGTTTAATTAAATTTTTAATTATTTTTTTATTAAAAGTAAAATTTATTTTATTATATAAAGTATAAAATATTATAATTTTTTTATTTAACATTGAGAAAGCATGTAGATGATATGTAATGGATGGTAGTTGAGATGGCTATAACAAAAATTGCGGTGGCATTAGTAATATACATATTTCATATTATATTAATTAATATTCAAATCTTATTTTAATTATCTATATAAAACTTTATAAAAGTTTTAATAATCTAAGGTTTATAGTATAAATATAAGATAATATAAAATATATTTTATATATTTTTTTATATAAATTAAAATATTGTATAATATTATCTTTATTTCAAATCTTCTAAT